AAATCTTTATTTTTAAATTAATCTTATTATTATTCAATGAGAATTAAATTCTCTTTTTTTAAAGAATCAATTAAAGTTTATTTTTATTTAACGAGATTTTAATAAAATTAAATTTCTTAATTTTCGAATTCAATTTATTAAATTAAACTATCTTGACTTTAAATTTAATTTGTTAAATTTATAATTTATTCTTCAAAATCATTTATATTTTTGTTAAAATTTTATATGTTTTCATTATAATTATTTTTTATTTTCTCACTCATTACTTATTAGAAATTATATTAATTTTATTCTTCATTTTATTTATATTAATTAACTTAATTTTATAATTATCTTTTTTTATTTTTTAATGGAGAAATATTAAAAATATATATTCATATTTTTACAATAGTTTATTTTATGCATTTTATATTTATTCATCTTTCTATTATATTTGTAAATATAAATCAATATTTTCTAATTTTTCTTTTTGAATTAAAACTTTGTATTAATAAATTATGGATTTTAATATTATTATAATATTATTTAACTTCTCATATTTTAATAATTATCCTATTTTTCTTAGTTTTATTTATCATAACTTTAATAATCTATTATTTTATTATTTTTTTTATTTTTTTTCATTAAAAATAAAAAAAAAGAACCTTCTTATTAGAAAGAAAATATGGAATTAAACATTTATTAAAAATTATTTATTTCTTTATTTAATTTAATTAAAAAAATATTTTATATATATATTTATATTTGATATATATAAATATAAATATAAATATTATTAAAATTCTCAAATTAAATAAGATTTCATTAAAATAGCTGATTTTCTATAAAAATGTTATTATTCTAAAAAAATTTAAATATTTTCAAACTAATTTAATATTTTAACTCTTAATTTTCAAATTCAATTTATTATTATGATTTTTTATTTTATTTTTCAGCTTCATTTCTATTTTTTTAATTTGAACAAATACACTTGTATAGATTTTCTTTTATTAAATTTTAAATATTTTCCGTTTCTGAAAAATTCATTTTAAAAAAGAATCTTTTATAATAATTTTTGAGTATAAATTCTCATTATCCTAATCATAAATTTATAAAAGTTTTCTTTTTTGATTTAAACTATTTTAAGGATATACAAAATATTTTATAAAAGTATTATTTTTCTCCTCATCTTCTTTCTACATAATATATCTTTGAATTTTTTAATTTTCGAAAGGCAAAAATGGACTTTTTAATTCTTTTTATTATTATTGATTAGGGCAATATAATAAAAAATCGTTATCTTCTTCTTCTATTAAACCTTATTTAATTATTTTTTCGATAATATTAGTCATATAGAATTTAAATGTATCATTCAAATAATTAATTAAAGCTTATTTATCCTAACATGTAACATTATTTTATGAGCATATTTAATCAATTTTATCATCTAAAATTTTTGAGTTTAAAAAAATTTTTAGGAAAAATATTTTGGGTTTTTATTCAGGTTTATATTCGTATAATGAATTAGACTTGGTAAACTATTATAAAATATCTATTTTATTAACAGAAGTAGTACTTTCTATTTATTATTAATTTATTAATTGATTTTCTACTTATTGTTCATTTTTTAAGATTTGTGAACTTTATTAAGAAAATGTTTTTTATTTTAATTATAAATCTTTTTAATATAATTATTTAGGTAATTTTATTTGTTCCTGTTATAATTAAGTTTTTTGTAAAACACTTAATTATTATTGTTTTATCAAAGACGATTATTCTAGTTTTTTATCACTTTACTGTATATCTAATAATTTCTGTTTTAAACTTTTTATAACTAATCTTATTATTGTGGTAATTAAATATCTTTTTATTATTATATTACTTTATTTTAATCTTATTACTTTGAAATTTATTATTCAATTTATTACTATTAAAATAATAATTATTATTCTTTTTTCAATTAAAATTATTATTATTATTATTATTATTATTATTATTATTATTATTATTATTATTATTAAAATTATAATAGTGTTTCTTAATTAATTCCTAATTTTTATACATAAGATAAAATATTTTATTATTACATTATAACATCAGTTGTTTTTTTATCGTATGATAATATATTTAAAAGAAAATTTTTTTCCTAACATTGATATTTATTATAAATTTCTCCTATTTTTTTTTTAAATTAATTTATTTTTTCTTGTATTTGATTTCTATCTTCATTAGTATTTTTTAATTCATTTTGAAAAACGTTTAAATATTCTCTTATTAAGAAATTCACTCTCTTTTCTTATTATTCAAATTACTAAAAAATACTATAAATTTATTTCTAATTGAGATATTTAATTAGTTCTTCATAATTTTTAAATGGTATTTCATTCATATTTAAATTTAAATTTTATTTACTTATTTAATTTGCATCTAAATAATTTATAAACTTTGTATATTTTTTCAAAGGATCAGTCAACATATTATATTATTCAATTTAATTAAAAATTTAATTTAAAATTACATCAAATAAAAGTATATTATTACCTATTTATAATTATTTTTGAAAACTATGAAATTTTTCTTTCATTTCTATTTATTTTTCCCCTTCTAACTTTTATTATATATTCAAATGCATTAAATTTAATTATTCCTCATATTATTTTATTATTTATGAAAAATCAAATAACATTTAACATTCACCCTATGTAAATATTTACTTGTGTAAGTTTTACATATTGTTTATTGTTAATTATTATTAATAAGCTTTTAATTTAGTCTATATATTAGGTTATTAGAAATTATTAATATCTTTTTTCATATAATAACTAAAGTTTTATTACACTAATTATAATAATTTTCGTTTTTCATGTTCTTATATATTTATATTCATTTATTCTTTAATTTATTATTGTTATTAATTTAAAGAAGGTTTTTAATCTTATTACAATTTATCTTGTTATTAATATTAATATTAATGTTATTATTATTATGACTATGATTATGATTATGATTATAATTATGATTATTATTATTATTATTATTATTCTTATTATTATTATTATTATTATTATTATTTTTATAATTATTAAGATTTTTATTATACTTATTCTTTTTATTCTGGAGGATTTATTACATTTGTATCTTCATATGATATATTCATTAAAATTAAATCTTCGAAACTATACAAATCATTTTAAGATTTAATTTGTAAATCTAATATAGTATTTTTTAATTATTGTTTTTATTCTGGAGTTATTGTTTTATTATTTTTTATGTTATATATATATTTGTTAACTAAATCTTATATTTTTCTTTTTAACTCATATTTTTATTTTATTATTTTTGACTATACAAATAATTTAAATATATATATTATTATTAAAATATATATAAAAAGTGATATACAATTAAAATAATAAAATTAACTAAAAAATATAAAAAATAAATATATATAATATAATATATAAATGTTAGACACTGAATAATATTATAATTAAGTATATTTAAATTATATACTAAAAAAATATATATCTTTATAATATATATAAATATAATATATATATATATTTAATTATTTATTTATTATTATATTCATTTATTAATATTTTTAATTAATTTTATATATAAAATATATATTAAAATTATTAACCCCCTGAAATGTTTTTTTAATTATAAGTTAATTTGTTTTTAAAAATACTTAACTTTTTTAAATTAGTATTTTTTGAAATCTAAATAAAATTAAATATAAATTTTTAATAATTATCAAATAAATATAATAAATTATTAATATATAAATTATATAAATTAAATTAATAAATAAAAAAAATAAAAATTAACTTAATTTAACAAAATTTAATTTTAATAAATTTTTAAATAAAAATAATTAATAAAATCATTATCTAAACAAATATAAATTTAAATTTTAACTTCCAACCATTATACTATCTGTTAATTTACTAAAATATACACTCTCTACTTTTTCATTATTAATTTAAAAAATCTAAATTTCATTCCATTTCTTACTTTCGTAAATAGAAACATTACCATTTAAAAATCCTATTGATAAAAAATTTGAAGACATATCAAATTTTAAACAACAAAAACTGCTTTCTGAGTTTTAGAAACTTTTTATACTTTTACCTTTTCTTAAATCAAAAATTAATATTTATTGTTCATTTCCAGCAGCTAAAATATATCCATTTTCAGAAAAATCTATTAAATTAATATTTTCTCCTTCTATTTTTTCCTCCAAAACAACCATAAGTTCATTTTCTTGTGTGTTCCAGAATCTCACAAAACCATCATTTGATCCTATTCCTAAAAGATTACCGTCTGGATGAATTTTTAAGGTACTTATTGATAATTGGTTAACGAATTCTTTAATTATAAGGACTTATTTTTGTTCAAAAATATCATGATATGTTATTTTCCCGTCTGAATGACCGACTATAAGTAAATAGCCATTCGGGTGAAAAGTTGCAGATGTAATATTATTACAATTGAAGATATATTATGTTAAAAAGGAATCATTTTCATGTACAAAAACCTTTAATGATTCATTATTTATTGAATAAAAAGCCATTTTATTACCTAATTTATCCGATTATATAAATTTAGCATCTAAAACAGGAATATTGTTCGAATGTTAAGTTTTTTCGGAGAAATAAGTTTAATTAGAAATATTAAAAAATGTAAGAAATCCATTAAAATCCGAAACTAAAAAATACTCTTAAAAAAAATCATGTATTTTATCATAATTTTTTATACTAAAATTTGATTTTAAACTATAATTTTTTATTTACTATTTTTTTATTTTTTTATTTAAAAAAAAAATAAAGAAGAAAAAATAAATATATATACATCTAAAGTAGAAAATTAAGAATTATAAAATTTATCTTTTTTTCTTTCTTTTCTTAAACTAATTAATTATTAAGAAATTTCAGTTATAGAATTTTTTATATATTCAGGTAGTTAATATATATCATTTTCGATATCCATTTTAGGTTATTGTTCATTTAATATACTTCTTTTTTTAAATTCTTCCCTTTCTTTTAATAAACGAGATATTACACGGCATGCCGCATCGTGTTAATATAAAGCATAAGATAGTTATTGACGCATTTATTCGAGGTTTTATTTCAGATTGTAATTTTCTAATAATAAAGAATCCCATTCAGATTGAAATACTTACAAAATCTAAGGAACTGATGATGTTTTTTGGCTTGTTTTTGATTTTATTATTTAATTTGCTATATTTTTTTATTTTTATAGGTTTTTTTTATTTTTTAAAAATTTACATTTTATTGGAATTAAATCATCTAAAGATAAGGATTACTGGGTTATTGGACATTAACCGGTTGATTATACGTATTTTTGGATTATTCGCTTTTAAAATACGTGACCAGTCTTTTTAGATACCATTGGCTCGGTTAATTATTCGCCGGAAAATGCACAGTAATTCCAGGACATTTTATTTTATATATTTATTTATTTAATTATTTTATTTATATTTTATTTATAAATCTTTTAATATTTTTATTATTTTAGACACATATTATTATTTATATAAAGTTTTTTAAAAAACTATTTACAATTATTTTTGATTATAAAATATAAAATAAAAAAACAATAATTATATTAAAATATATTAAAAAAAAATATATATAATATTAAAAGAAAAAAAAAATTATATATAATAAAAATAAAATTTATAATATTTATCATATAAAATAATAAATATATATTATATTTTATATATATTTATAAGAAAAGAATTAGTTTAATTAATTTATAAAAATTTTCTTTTATATTAATAAAAGAATTAATAATTTTTATTATTTAACAATATAAAAAATAAATAATATAAATATGAATAATATATATATATATATATATATATATTTATAAAATAAAAATATTTTTAAAGATATATAAAGATAAATATTTATAAAATCTATTTTTATTAATTTAATTATAATAATATTTTACATATATTTTTTAAAATAATTATATAAATAGAGTATTTAAAACATGTCTGAAATATAATAATTTAAATATTATAAAATTATTTTTTATAAAAATTAAATTAAAATTTGTTTATTTAAATTTAATTATAAAAAAAAATATTTATAAATATTAATTTATTAAATTTATTTATTTTTTTTATATAAAAATATTAATATTTTAAATAAATATATTTCGATATAATATAATAATATTTAAAACTCTTAAAATAAATGAGTATTTATAATTCGCAATATATAATTGATAATTACAAAACTCCAGAATAGCCTGTTCTTTTCAGTACTAACCCTAGTGTTTAAAATTAAACAATATTATTTTCTCCATAAATGCCTTTAAAAACAATTAAAATTTAACATATAAAAAATAAACTCTTTTAAGAAGTCCTGAATAATAAAAAATAATATAAGGTTTTAAATTAAAAGAAAAAAAAAAATTAAATATATTTAAATAATATATATAAAAATTTAGGATATTAACATATTATTATACCTTAAACAATTACTTAAAATATACCTTCACAAACTTATTAAATATAAACATTAAATTAAGAAACAATTAGTTCTGAAAATAAATTAACAAATTGTGAAGAGTTACTATATAAAGAATTAGATGCATATAAAAATAAATGCAAACATTTAGTATTTTTATTCCTATTTATTAATCTTTTATAACGAAAAAAAAAAGGAATAACATCTTTATGAATTAAAAAAAAAATTGATTTTTTTAATATTACAGAAGAATAATTAAATGATGTCTTAAATGAAAATACTTGCTTTAATATAAAAATAAATGACTTATAATAAGAAAATAATAATCTAAAAAATGAAATTGAAAATTTAACTAAAAATTAAAAACAATAAAATATGTTGACAAATGAATATATAAATATATAAGAATAATTTATGTAATAAAATTAACAAATAGTTTAATTAAAAAATGAAATGTAAATAAAAAATTAGCTAATTAATAAATTATAAAATAAGTAAAATTTATTTAAAAGAATATTTTATTACGAAAAAAAAAAAAGAGATGAAGAATAGTAAAGAAAAATATAAAATTTAGCAAATTAAAATAAAATATTATAAAATGAAAATCAAGAAAATATAAAAAGATAAAAAAAAGAAAAATAATAAAATGAAAAAGAATAATAAGAATTTATAGAATAGTTAAATAAAACAATATAATTAAAAGAATAAAGAATATATGAATAAGAAGAAGAAAATGAAGAGTAATTATATATATATATATAAATATATTTATATAAATATTTTTTTTATGTTTTACATAATTATATATATGATTATATATATAAATATATATAATTTATATATATTTTTATATTTATATGCAATTTTTAATAAAGTTTTAAATAATAAATTAATAAATTAAATATCGATATTTATAAATATTAAGGATTTGAATATGAAAAATAAAGACTTTCTTAATAATTGGAAAATAAAAATAATGAATTGGAATAATTAAAAATTTAATTTAATTAATAAATTTTATAATTAGATGATTTGAAATAAGGAACATAGAAGCTTTATATTTTTGAAAATTAATTGGGTTTATTAAATAACGAAATAAATAAATATAAATAATAGAGTGAATAAAAAGATGATGAAATAAAAAAAAATTAATTTAAAATAATTAATTTTGAAAAGGACTTAGAAGTAAAAAAATAATTGGAATATGAATTAAGTTAGTCTAAATTAAAAGTAAACATGCTTGTGGAAGAAATAGATAGATTGAACTAACTTTTGAAACTAAAATTAAAAGAAAATGATGAATCAAAAAGTTTAATTAATAAATTGTAAATGTAAATTGGTTAAATTCAATAATAGGATTAAACAAAAAATTAATAATTAAACTAATAAATGATGGAAATGGAATATATAAAGAATTAATTACAAATATTATAAAATGAGCATCAAAATTTATGTGGGAAATTAAGTAAATAAGAAAATATAATTAGATAATATGATTAGTAATTAAAACTATGTTAATAAGAGAATAATTAGTTTAAAAATAATATTAATACATTATAAAACGAAAATTAAGATAATTTTGATTTGTTAAATAAAGAAATATAAAATAATTCATAAAAAGTTGACTAAAAAAAAAAAATGATAAAATTATTAATTTTTTATATAAATTTAAAAGGAAAGAGATTTAGATCAATTAAAAAAGAAAATTAATAAAATGAATGATGATAATGATAAATTAAATCAAGAAATTTTCAAGTTATAAACTTAAATTTAAAATTTAGAAAATACAAAATAAGACTTGAGTAGCCAATTAAATTAATCTTAAAATAAAAACAAAACATTAAATTAATAAAGTGAATAGTTAAAATAGAAGTTAAATGATAAAAGTAATCAACTAGAAGATTTAACACGAAAATATAATAATGATAAGAGCCAAAACGAGTCTAAATTGGCATTCCTTGAATAAGAAAATAAAAAAAAAGATTCTTCAATAAATAAATAAACAAAAGAAATTGAAAACATGAAGCCTTAATTAATTGAATATAGTTAGTTAAAATTCGAATTCAAGAATATGTAAGAAAATCTTAAGTATTTACTTTAGGAGGTAGAAAGATTATAATAAGATAATCATATGTAGAGTAAAGAATTGGAAATTTGGAGATATAAATATTCTGAATTTTAACCTTTAGAAATAAAGATTTAAGATCTTTTATGTAAAATTATACTTTACAATTGTGAAGTTGAAAACATGAGATTTTAAATTGATTAACTTATATAAGAAAATGAATATCTTAAAGAAAATTAAGAAGTTTCATAATAATAATATAGAAGATGATTAATTTTTTTTATTTTTATATAAGAGAAAATATATTTTTTTATAAAAAAAATATTAAATTAAAACTATAAACTTATTAATAAATAAATATAAGAAAATTTATATTATTTTTTTGTTTTTTTTTTTTTAAAAAAAAAAAAAAATAGTTTTTAGTTGAAAAAATAAGTTTTTCAATCTTATTTATTCTTTTTTTATAATTTATCATACAAAATATCTTAATTTTCAATTAATAATTAATCTACTTTTTCTTCTTAAATTCCATCATCTATTATTTTTCTAATTTTATTATTTTATTTTATTTTTTTATAAAAAAAAAAATTATATTTTTACTTTGCAATAGCTCTTTTACCAGGTCCCCAATTTTTTTCAGGATTCGGAATCCATTTCGGAATAGCTTTATCAATCTTAATGTTCAAATCAAAATTAGGATTAGTTCTATTTATATAATAATAAGGTTAATTTTTTTATTTATACATTAAATTTTTATTTAAAAGTAATCCTTATTTATTATTATTTATTATTTCTTATTATTCTTATTATTATTCTTATTATATTTCTTATTATATTTCTTATTATTTTTATTATTATTTTTATTATTATTCTTATTAATTATCCTATTATTTTTACATTAATTAACCTTTTTATTATATATTTTTCTTTTTTTTCAAAAATAAAATAAAATATAAACTATTTGATATAAATTTATAAAAATTCAAAAAATACCCAATTCCTCATAATATCGAATACAATTTCAGACGAAGCGTTAGTTTTAAATATAATTGGATTTAAATAAGATTATTCAATATTATACCCAAGACTCATATATGCTGAATATATTTTTTTCTTACTAGGGATAGTAGTTTTTAAATATTTAGAAATATGTTCAATTGAAAAGCCATAAGGAATTTAGTCTAATTAAATTTATTATTCTAAAGTAATAGCATGAAGCATGCCATTAATTTTTTCTTTAGTTTAAAGTTTTAATTAACATTATTATTAATTTAAAAATTAAATTGTTTTATTAACAAAATCTTCATCATTTAATTTATCTATCCAAACAGGTCCATCTTTTTTGTTTTTTTAAACAAAAATAAAATAAAAAAATTAATTTAATTACTTATAGTGAAATTATTTCCACATTAGTCGCATTTATTTGATGGAATATTTAAATTTGTGGGAGCAAATCTTTCCAGTTTCTCGTTTTTTAGGCTTTTTCCAAAAGGTTAGGTATAAAAATTACCACAATTATCACAATTAAATATGTTTCCAGTTTTCAATATGGATTTTCCACATTCTTGTTTACCGTTTTTGACTAAAATAAAACATCTGACGTAAAATTCACTTAAGTAACAAATTAATGGAACTATATGTTTCGAATATTTATTTGCAGTGTTATTTAATGTATATAATAATATTCTAATAGCATTCTTATTTTATAATATAATGAATTTAAAAATATTAAAAAAAAAAATTTTTAAAATACTTCTTAAAAAGCCTACATTTTAGCCCTTGAGCTTCCGTATAAATAATAACATTTTTATGTATCTTATCCACATAAAATACGTGAATCTGTAGAAGTTACACATAATAATGTATCAAAACAAGCAGCTTATAATGCACAATCTAAAAAAGGAACTGCTGTTCCATACGGATCTAAATCAATTACATGTAATTTAGCAGATAAATCACCTTTATTTAATCTAAATCTATGTTCATATAATAATTATATAGCATCTTTTTAAGTCACTTTTAAATATTGTAAATAAATAAATATATAAATATATAAATATATAAATATATAAATATATAATTATATATATATATGAATTTATTTTTTTATATACTTTCTATTTTTGATAAATCTAATTCATTTAAAATAAAATTCTCCATCATTAATTTATGACTTGCATCTGATATATCATTTGCATATATTTTATTTATATTTTTTAATTCTTTTAAAAATCTTATTGTTCTTAATCCACTTGCTGACAATGCATCTAATATATTAATTCCTTCAAAATTTTATCCCTCTTTATTATTATTTTTTTTATTTTAAAAATCTCTTTTTTTTTACGTTTTTCCTTCAGCATTTATGTATACATATGTATTATTAATACTGTTAAATCTCTATTAAACACCTTTTTTATTTTATTTTTATTCATTTTTTTGAAGTTTTTACTTAAACTGGATTGTAAAATACTTCGGCTTATATTGTTTTTATTCCTTCCTATTCTATATATGATTTTTTAATTTTGGCTTAACCTTCATAAATTAAGTCATTTTACTAATTTAGATTTGTAGACATTTTATATATTTGTAATCTTTTTGTGAAATTAATTTATTTTATTAATAGATTTTTTATGTAGAAAATTTATTTAATCATTCCAGCAAAATATATGTATTTATATTTTTTTTTAATAAAATAGTTTTTAATATTATATGAATTTTATTTTTTTAGAATTAAAATATGTACATATTAATATTATTTATATATATATTTTTTTTCTTCAATAATCAATTTTGTTTTTTATTATTTTAATTTTATTTATTATTAATAAGTTTATATTTTTATTAGAAAGTTCAAAATAAAATATATAAAATAAAATAAAAAATTAAAAAATATTTAAAATAATTTTCTATTAAATATTTATTTAAAAATTAAATAAAATAAGAAAATAATATATATTTAATAATACAAACATACAAAAAAAAAAAATATTTATATTTTCTCATTTTATATTGATTATTTTTTAAAATACAATAAATTAAAGCAATGACATTTAATGCATTAAAATTTTTAAATCCAAATAATCCCTAATATAATTTAAGATCCTCAAAGCCTAATTATAAAAGCATATATTTAAATAACAATATACCTTATTATAATATGTCAAGTATAGAATAGTCAATATTAAATATCGAATAGGCAAAACAAAGATTAAATAATTTAATAGATAATAATGCTGATAAATTTAAATTAAAAGATAGTAAATTAAAGAAAACATCTTATGAGAAAAAAATGGAAAAAAAAATTAAGAATTTATAAAATACATTAATGAAAAAAAAAGTTAATACTTAAAAAATAAGCAAAATTTAATAAAAAAACGAAATATTTTAATCATAACTTCTTAATTAAACTAATCCTATATAATTAAATAAAAAAAAAAATAATTAGACTATAAAAAATAACATTTAATATGACTAAAATATAACTTAAGATGAAAAAGATTAAATCTATAACTAATCAAATAATATTTAATATGAAAAAGATAACATTTAAAATGAAAATAATAATATTTAAGAAGATAATTATAATTATTAATATGATAAAAATTATTTTTAATAATAAAATAATAATATTTAAATTTTTAAAAAAAGAAAAAGATAAAGCAGTAAAAATAAACTTTCAGTAGATTTGAAAAACGTTTCCCCTATAAATTATCATAATATAAGTTAAAATGATTTAAGAAATTCTTAATAATCTTTGACTTAAAATAATATTAATTAAACATAAGATGATGCCACTATTGTAAAATAGTAAATAGCATAAATATATATATATATATATTATATAAATATATATATATATATATATATATATATATTTATTTTTATTAATATAAGTATTAATTATAGCATTAATTTATTCTAAAGTCCTTATTCATAAAAAGTTTAAGATAATATCAATATATCAAAATATCAAAATTATTCTAAATAAAAATTTTAGAGTTTAGATAAACCTTTAATTTAAAGCCAACTTTTGGAAAACTAGATTAAAAAATTGAAAAAATCTCATAATAAATTAAACCATAATAAATTAAACCAAACTAGTAGTAGATTATAGAATTCTTATATAGTTAAATCTGATAATAAATAGATTTCTTAATATAATTCAAATAAAAGTAATTTTTAAGGTGAAAATAAAATAGAAAATGCTTAAAATTTAAAAAAACATGAAATTTTATCAAAAAATACTGAAAATCATTTTTAAGGAAAAACGGAAAATAAATTTTTTAAAAAAACAGAAAATCTGCCTTCTTCTTCTTTTGTGAAAAGTTAAATTTTTGAAAATACTAATGGAAAAGTTTAAAAAATAGGTTTAACAAAAAATAAAAAAAGGGAAAATTTTTAAACTTAAAAAACTTAAAATCTAAAAGTTTCTACTACTTTATAATAATTTGGAAAAAAAATAGAAAATTAATAAAAAAAAAAATCAAAAAATTAATAAAATTAATTATTAAAATCTACAAAAACAGTATCTATATAATAAATTAGCAAATACAATAAATTAGAAAATAATATGTAAGGAAAAACTGAAAGAATTTAAGCAAAAAATGAAAATTTTTAAGGAAAAAATGTAAACGAAATACAAAATAAATACAAAATTACGAGTTTAAAAGAAAAAAGAGCAAGATAAAAATTAGAAAACTCATACATAATAGAAAATTAATAAAAGAAAGTTGAAAATTAAATAAATAAATATAAAAAAGCAACATAAATAAGTTCATTTAGAAGTTTTACTGCTATGAGAAATAATAAAAAATAGAATTATTATTCATTAAATGAGAATAAATAACACTAATATTTAGTAAAAAATAATAATAATTTAGAGGAAGAATAAAAAATTAACGAAGAATAAATAAACTAAGAATATTCTTTAATAATATAAAAAAGTGGAAAAAATGAATATAATATAAAGAGAAATTTCGAAAATGATTTTTTTTAAAAAAATTCATAAAACAATAAAAATGATTTAAATTAAATATAAAAAAATAATGATATATATAATACTTCAAATAATAATATTTTATAAAATTCTTAAAATAATATACTTAGTTGTTCTTTTAAAATAGAAAAAAATATATTGAATGAAGAAGGAGAAGAATACAATTAAATATTAGATAATTTAAACTAATTAAATTAAAGAAATTAAGAAAAAGATAAGTTGATAAAATAACTTACTGAATAAATTATTTTCCTTTAAAAAGAAATAAAATTAAATAATTCTTAAATCCCAAATCAATTATAGCATTAACTAAATATCAATTAAATTTAATTAATTTCGTAATTATAATAATAATAATAACTCTAAAAATAATAAATGTAACTATAATAATAATAAAATATGATAATATAGTAAGGATATATGGAAAATAAGAATATTACAAAATAATTATATAATTAGATATAAAGTTAGAATTTTTTATAATAAAGTTAAAACTTTTCTAATCGAAATATAAGTCAAACTAAAAATAAATCTCATGAAAATTAAAGTAGTTCAGATTTAGATAGTTCCTGTATATATGAAAATGAAAAAATTAATAATGTTTTATAATAAGAATATAATAAAGAAGATTGCAACATATTTATTTCAAATTAATATAAATAGCAAAGTATTGATATAATAAATGAAAATATAGTAGATGTAAAACCTAAAAAAAATATAGATGTATTTATAAATATATAAATATATAAATATAAATTTAAAATTATAAATATATATATAAATATAAATAAATATATAAAAATATTTATAATATATATATTTATATATATATATATATATATTTAAACTTAATATAATTTATATTTATATTATATATATAAATAAAGAATGATATTTAATAAATTAGTCAGTTTTTATGTTAAAACGATATTATTAATGAAGTTTCTTTGATACAAAAATAATCATAAAATAATACAGTTTTTGATTCTGCTAATTCTTTAAAAAATTCTGTTTAGTTTTCGAAAAAAAGTAATACAAAATCTACAAAATCTGTAACAAGTACTATTGAAATCGGTTAGAAAAAATAAGGATATAAAAGTTAAATTAAAAACAATAATTATTTTTGAATTATAGTATTTATGTAAAAATAAATAATTAAATATATAAATTATTCATTTATGTTTTATACTAAAATCAATATTTTTTGATAAATCAACTAATTCTCTAATTTTACTATTAGACAAAATTTTTTTAAACTAATTTAATTTATCAGATTTATAAATATCAGACTTTTTCCCTTTATTTTGTAAAATACATAGAATTGTTTCTCCTATATATTTTGCAAAAATAAATCCAGTTTATTATAATACACCAATTTATTCAAAGTCGATCATTTTCAAATAAACTTCTAGATTTTATTAAAATATATTTTTACATAAAAGATCTTAAGTGCATTTTATTTTTATTATATTTAAAGCGAATATTAAATTCATTATTTTTTATTAATATTCTCTAATTTATTTATATATTTTATTTTTTTAAAAAAAATTAAATTAAATTACGTTAAAGGAATATTGAAATACTCCCAAAAAAAATTATTTAATATCGAAACTACTCCTTCTTATTCTTTTATTGGAGTACTAATTATTTTTTAAATAAAGATTATATTTAAAGAATAAAAGCCTACTTTTTAAATTTCCTATTTCAATTAATTAATTCTATCTCTTACAATTTATTTACGTGGTTATTTTTGAGAATTATTATTAGTTTTCTAAGAATTTATTTTAATTAAAGAATTAATTTAAGAATCTTTAGAAAATATATTAATACTTTTTTATTAATCTATTTGGTCTATAGATATAGAAGTTTCTTCTTTAAAATAATTTTCTTCATTTAAATTTGAAAAAGAAATTTTTTATTCTAATTCTTATTTATGAATTATATCTTGTTCTTCTAATAAAATTTTAAGTTCTTATTCTTTATCATGTATTAATTTTGTAAATTTAATTAATTCTATGATTGTTTATCGAATGTTTTTAAGAAGAAAATCTTTGGCTTCATTTGTAGGTTCTTTAATAAGTATAATATATATATATATATATAAATATATATATATATATATATATATATATATATATATATATATATATATATATATATATATATTTAAAAAAATTAATACCTTCTACTATATATTATTTCATTAATACAAAAAGAAGTCTCGATTATAAATTAAGATCAGTTTCTGAAATATTAAAAATAATTTAAATAAGATTCTAAGAGATTAAAATTTTATCTTTTTCCAAAACGATTTCAGAAATCAATTCTAATGTTAATTATTTTATATTTAAAAGATTAACTTAACTTGGTTATTTTAATTATCTAAGAGAATTTTAAATGTTATCATTTTCAATTTCTACTACCATATTAAATATATATTCTAGAAGTGCAACTAAAGGTTCTACGTTTATTTTTGTTTATTTTTAATTATTTGATGTTGATTTCAGATATTAAAATATCTAGTTCATCAAAAAAACTATTTACGAATTATAATCCATTTAATTCAGTTATATTAGTTAAAGTATTAAAACAAAACATTTATATTGACTATTATTTATTTTTTATAAATATATTTTTATTATATTTTTTACTTTTTCTTTTTTATTAAACCATTTAAATGCAATTTTATATTATTTTTTTCAGTTAAGGAAGATTAAATATCTTATAAATAACTAAACTAATTTATAAAAATTATTATGACTTTAAAAATACTATTAAGTTCATTTAATTTTAGATTTTATTTATTTTAAAAAGTTAATTAATCTTCCTCATTTTCTATATTAAAGACCATATCTTCATATTCAAGAAGTCTTATTCCGCAAAAATAGCTAGATCTTATAACATCAGATTCAAGTAATGTTTATCTAAATTCTGTAAAATAAATCATTACTATTAATATTTCAAAAACTAATATAATATTATTTTTATCTATTTCTTTCATACTATATATATATATATTTTAATTTTATATTTATTTTTTTATAATAAATACTAATTGTCATATTAATTTAAATTTTAATTTTCTTCATTATAATCATCTATATCTTCATCATTTTCTTTATAATATTATTTATTATTAATGTCTTTTTCTTCTATTATTTTTTTATCATTCATAAGCTTTTGTAATGATTCTAATAGCATTAAAGTAAAGTTTTGAATATAATTATTCAAAAAATAACACATATCACTATAATTATCTATTAATTCTTAAGAATTCTTTATATCAATTACCAAAATGAATTTTTTAATAAAAACTAGGAAAAAAAACCTTATAACAGCATCCCTATTGTAGTAGTTTTCTTAATTAAATTGAATTATTTTAAATATTCCTTCGGCTAGTTTTATAGCTTCTTATTCTTTTATAAATTTAAAATCGATTTTAGATATTAACTTAAGGAAATTAACATATACTTAACGGTTTTTCAGATCAAAAAATTACTAATGATGCTTTTAAGAAGAAGAATATATTTCTTAAGTTTTATAATCAAAATGAAAATGTTAAATTATAATATGTAATATTTCTTCTAACTATATATATATATATATATGTATAAATTTATATATAATTTTTTATATATATATTTACTGAAGGTTACATTTCTTATTCATATTTTTCTAAGAGAATATTTAAACTTTCTAAAATATACTATTATACAGTTAAAGATTTTAATGAGTTATTATTTTAATTTAGAATAAATCCATCATAATTTTTAGTCATATTAATAAAAAAATTCAATATATGAGTACATATTCCATCTTATCTTTTTATAGTTTTATAATTTAATAAAAAAAAAATTTTGTTTGTTTGTTTTTTTTTTACGCTCTTGTTAATACTTTAGACATATTAAATAGTAATTCACAAACTATAAGTATATTTTGGGTAGAAGATTCTTAATATAATGATGGGTAATTTTATATTTTAGACATTATTTCATATACATATTGGAATTAAATATATATAAATCTATTAGTTTTATCATCTGTGCTAATATTTTTTTCTTTAGAATAAATTAGTTTATATTTTACATTTGTAGAATTCGAAATAATAAGCTCTTTTTGGAAAATTTAATCGATACAACTTAATAATAGGGAAAGTAGTTTTAATCTATAAATTATTATTTTAAATTAGGCTTGTGATTTTTCGTTATTTTCATTTTTTTCATTTAAATTAATAATAATAAATTCTTTATAGAATAATTATTCGTCTTGGAAATAATTTATTTATTATTTTATTATATTTAAGAAACCATATTTTAATAAATAACTAAGGCATTCTTTAGAATCTAGAAAATTTTACATTAATTCCCATATTTTAAAATATGAATCGAAATATTATTATTCAGATAAATTTTACTTGTTAAGAAATTAAAAAAGACTTTAAAATAAAATCTCTATCTTAGCAATTTTCTATATATAAAATAAATAATTATATATAAATATATATATTTACATATATCATCCCTTTAATAGATAATATTTTTTAAATTAAAATTATAACTCTGTCTAAAAAATGATCGTTTATTTTACAAAAAGATATTATATGTTTTGTCAAAAACTCTACTATATCTACTGCATATATTATAAAATCATCATATTTGGCATTATCTATCATTAAGATAAGTGCAATGATTCCATTTTCAACATAATGCCTATTCTAAACTTATATAATACTTTTGAACCACTTAAATATTTCTTCGCATTTAATTCTTTTATAAATTTCTTTATTTCGTGCCAAATTAAGAAAAGCAACAATTGCTTATTGGTAATAAATAAGCTAAATACAGGTCTCATTTGCCAAAAACTTGAATAAATATTCAGGAATTTTTGTCGCGAATATTATTTTATGGTTCACTTCGTAATAAGCCAGATTTGCAATGCAATAAAGTGTCGATTTTTCGCCTTATTAAGTCGTATTTGTTATTATTTCACTGTTTTGGCGATTACTACCGCGTTTTAAGATCATTAAAAAGAACGAAAACATAAATTTATTCTCTTCATTGTAGGAGATTATGCTTTTAGATTCACTGTCATTGGAAATTAAGGAACCGCTTTTTAAAAGTTATTATTAAGTAGCTAGAAGATCAGTGTTTTTGGAAAAAAACTATTATAAACCAGTCTTGTTTTGATTAAAAAAAGCACTCTATAGTGAATATTTTACATTTTATTAACGGGAATATTTAAAATTTTATTCTTCATCATTTGATTATATACCATCTAAATTACTATCCTATAATTATATATGTATATATTATATTTTCATAATTTTTTCTATAATTATTTTGTAAGAATATATCATTAATATAAAAAAATGAAAAAAATAAATAAATTATAATATACTTTTCTTTTTTTTTATAAAAAAAAATGAATTATATAGAAAATTATGGAGAAGAAAAATAAAAAAATATTAATAAATAAATATATTATTTGCAGTTTTTTTACAAAAATTATAGTAAAAAATAAATAATGAAAAAAGAGTAATATATATATTATTTAAAAATTACATCTTCTAATTTCATTTAATTATTTTCATATTTTTTCATTAAGAAATTATCCAAAAGTTTATATTTCTTAACTTTTAAGACTACATTAATTAAAGATGCAATATAATATTCAAATTCGCTATTAAATCTGATATATTTTCTATAATTTACATATAATTAATCAAAAAGATTCGAATAAGAGTAACAATATCTTAAAATAAATTCATTTTAATAAAAATTAGATAACGTACAAATAATTTAACATAATATATTATAACTTTAATTTTTTCCGAATATTAAAGCATGTATTATATGTTCTTCTATTTATGGAGATATTAAATATTTTATTAAATCATCATTTTAATAACCAAATATGGAGCAATTAGATAATATTTATAAAAAACAAACAATAAAATTTTCAGCTCTAATCTAAATTATAATATATATATATATATATATATATATATATATATATATATATATATATATAAAAAATTATATTTAATATGTTTATATATATAAATACATATATATAATTTTTTTATTTAAATAATCAAATAAATAAAAAGTCTTAATAATTTTTTTTTTGCCTTTTTTTTATTTATAGTTTTTTTTTTTTTTTTTTTCAAAAAAAAAACATAGAAAAAATAACTATTTATAAATTTTACATATATATATAATTACTCTATTAGATTCCTTAATTTATAAAGGGGGATTTTAATCTAATTTTTATAAAATTTAATTATTAAATTTATATAATTTATTAAGTTATTCAACTATCGCTGTATTATTATTAAAAAAAGCAGTATTAGAAGTAATATCTTTTAAAATCTAATAATAAATAATTTTCATTTCTAAATAATCAAAATAGATAATAATATTAATTATTGACCCCGTAAGTCTTGTATAATCTATCATAATTTTAGGAAAATGTTCCCATTTAACCAACATATTAAGAATATAATATGACGAATTAATAAAATAAGAAGATTTACTCTCTAAATTACTCTTAATACAACTAATAATTTCCCTTGAAATATCAAGTTTATTTTCTATTTGAGACTAAATACTTTCATTATTATTATTATATTTATCATACATCATTATGTTCTCATTTAAAGAAACTACATAATTAGTAGCTGCTTTTAATAATTTTATCTATAAAGGCTTCTCGCATTCATTTACCATAGATAATGAATTAACCATATTAACTTAGTTTTCAATTAGACTGAAATTATTAGGATTTAAACCTAATTATATCATGGAATTTAGCATATGTTTCTGACTTATTTCCTATATTTTGCTCTCTCTATGTAATATTAGTTCAAAAATCCTTATACATTCGTTCTTTATTAAAATTTCGTGTGTTTATTTTGTAAAAGTGACATTAGAAAGTAAAGACTGGATTTTTTCTTTGATAAAAACCTTAGTTTTGGTATGAAAAAATATCATGTTTAGACTCTTTAGAATTTCTTCTTAGGCTATAAAATAGTGAAATTCTGTATTAGACGATAAATTAGCCAATAGTCTAATTGAAGTATAAGTTAGATTATCTAATCGATGTTCTATTAATACTTCTTTTATTATATATAGGGTTTTATTATATTTCAAAAGGAGGGTCTATATCTCTTTTATATTACATAAATTAGCTAAAAAACATAATAAAGCTTCCTGCTCTTCCCTTTTGGAAGCTGAGTATAAATTGCGGAATTTCTAAAGAAATTCTTCTAGATTAATGAAACTCTCGAAAAACTCTATATTGTTTTCATAAAAACTTAAGTTTGTAAGAAACGTATATAATGAAAATCTTAGTTTAGAATCCTAACTATATGGATTTATTATTGTGGATAGAAATTAGTCGGAAAGTTTATTCATAGATTACTGGTTTTCCTTGAATTATTCGAAGAATTATTTCTCTTATAATAAATGGTTCATTATATTTAAAATATAAGTAAGTAAATTTACATCTGTACTTTCTTAAAAAAGGGAAAAACAGAGTTCTATGCATTTTTTTATTTCATTTTCTTTTACCATAGAGTAATTTTAGATTACTAGATTATGAAGGATTTTTAAAAAACCAGTATTTATTTGATGGTTTTAGAATTTTGTATGGATTACATTATTTTTCATACAGCGTAGAATTTCGATTATTTCTTCCTGGTTTTATTTAGAGAGTTCTGGGTCAATTAGAAGATTACTTACCATTAATACACATATCATTAATTAATTATAAAAGCTTTTTTTTATAACTATTTAATTTTGTTTTTTTTAAAAAAAATATTTTATATAAGAGTTTTTTTTTTTTTCTCAAACTAATTTTATGTCTTTTTCTGAACGTTGGATTATTTATTTTATTAAATGTATTATTTTTGATTAAGTTATAGCTTAAGTTAAACCGAAATCGTTTTTGGTCATGTTTAGGACACATAATAGACTTGCACTAATTAAGGAATTATTAGGTTTTTGTTCAGATATTTATTAATATAGGAAATCTATAACAAATGGATAAATACTTATTAATATTAAGTTTTACAAATATATTATATTTTAATAATATTATAAAACAAAAATATATATACTTTTCATCAAGAGAAGAGCTTTTAAATTATGGTAAAGAAGTAATTTAAGCTAATAATTTTACTAAATCAGTAAATGATATAATTCTCTAAAAAAAATTAAAAATATATATTTATATATATATATTAAATTACTTTTTCACTCCATATTTAAAAAATTAAATTAATAAGATTTTCTTCTAAAATTTATTTAAGTAAATTTGGTTATAATGAAATATTAGCAAGTATAGTACAACAATTGGGAATAATATTATGACTCCACTTCTATTATTCTTAAATTATATGTTTAATAAGTTTTACAATATTACTATCTTTAAAATACTCTTAACTTTCTTTTTTATTTGATAAAGACATTAAAATATAAACCCTAATATAGACTGTTTCATCATCTTATTTCATATAAGTATGATCAGCTAATTTTTCTATAGTTTAAAAAACCGAAGTTGGATAGACATCAGATTCAGCCAAAATAATATTAAAAGCCTCTACAATTTCATAAAACATAAATTCATAACTTCTTTATAGTACAATGTTTAGAATTTATATAATTCCTTAATCAAATAGTTTTTTAATATGCACACTTATATTTTCTATTTTTAGCATTTAACACGCAAAAGTTAAAATATAAGAATGCATATTTACTTATTACTCATAATTTTGGCTTTCTTAATTATTTATTTGACACCATTTTTAATTTATCTCATTTGTTAGTCTTACGAATCCCTTTTCTAACAAAATTAAATGACATTCAGGATTTAAAGACAAATTCATCATTATTTTAGAGTACAAGTCTATAAATTATTAAAGATTTTATTCTGTTTATATAGATAGGTTATGTAATAAAGTATTATGGTATAATAATTTTTGGTGAAATTTAGGCTTTTCGGATATTAATACTAATGCGAATAAACTTAATTATAAACATTCAGGATCGTCTTTATTTCTTAAGCCTTCATTTATTAGCCAACATAATCTGTTTATTATTGAGTTTTTGAATTTATTGTATATTATTATGTTTATAAAAAAACGGATGCCTTCTTTTAAAATACGCCTTTCACGAATTAAAGCGTTTTTTGAAATCATTGAACATATATCATCTTCTACTATGGCATGCTATTTTTTTGTTTAGTTAATATATTTTTATTTTTTTTGATTATTTTACAATGTTCTTTTCGAATCTACTTAATAATGTAAAGCATTTAAATGATAAATATATCTAGAAATTATTTGAAACATTTAAAAAAAATAAAAGGCATTCTATACCTTCAGATTCTATGAATTCTTATTGCATTTCAAATGATGAATGAATCATTATCATTATTGATATTAATAACTATTTTTTTTTATTTATTTATTTAATTTTTAATAGGATATATTTACCTATTTTTTAATATGATTATTTGAACGATAAATATCTTCAATAAATTATTTAGTTAATTTTCTTTAAATAATAATTTTTCTACATTCAGTATCAAAAGAAAACTTAGAAATAACTTTTGCTATATAACCAATAATTTAAGTAAACTAAAAAAATAAAAAAAAATATTTTATATAATTAGAATTTAAAAATATTACTTTATTTTTATAATATAGATCAATAAAAATATCTAATAACTCAATCGAAACAATATTCAACTATAAATTACTAGCTATATTTGAAAATATTATTACTATAGACATTAATAATTAAATGTCTTCTTAATGTTTAACAATTCTTAAAAGTATGCTTTTTTCCGGATCTTTAAGGAAATAAGATTAATAGGCCTAATCTAATATTTAAAAAAAGTGTAAGATATATATATATATATATATATTATATATATTATATATTTATTTATTTTAATTTATAATTATTTATATTTAGTTTTTTAATATTTTATATTAATTTATTTATTTTTATATATATTATACCAAGAGAAATATTTGCTAAAGTATTAGCCGCAGCTCTTAATACGTTAATATTAGTTTCAGATGATTCAAAAATATGAATAAGACTTTTAATATTTATATTTTATAGCTTTTTATGAAAATTAGGTGCACCTGATAAATTTGAGATTGTAATAACACTAGAAATTCTACTTTCTTAGTCTTAATTATTTAACTAAATAATAAGTAAGTCTATAATTCCTTAATTTATTAACAATTAAATACATTTGTGATTTTGAGATAAATGACTTATAAATTTTAGACCCAATCTTCTTTATTTTATATCTTTATTTTCCCTTAAAATATCACACATTAAATTTAAAATTCCCATTTATATTAATTTAATTTATGTTTCTAAATTTTCACAAAAAATACTAAGACAAGAAAGAGACTTTTTTAAAAAACAATAAAATAAAAATATAAAATATTATTTACTAATTATCTTATTTCTTAATTATCAATAATATAAACATCTTTTGTCATTTATATATATTTTTCTTCAGTAATTATTTTATTATATTCAGGGAACAGTAGCATCTTTTCAATTATTTCTAATAAAATCCTTATAACAGAATTATTAATAGGACTTTATATACACATTGTATATGCTTAATGAACTCTTGGAGGTATATCATATTTAATAAGTTTTTATATATGCTAAGGTTAATTAAGAATTAAACTATAAAAAAATAAAAAATATAAAAATGGATATATATATATATATATATATATATATATATATATATATATATTTTTATATTTATTCATTTTTTACACATATTGATATATTAATATATTTTTTTTTATATTTATATATATATATAAATACGAATAAATACATAAAAAGTTAAATACTATGAAAACAAACTTCTTAATTTGGAGAAACAATAGCTCTAGCAAGTGGTGAACAATATTTTTTTTTGGAAAGAATAGTAATCATATCTTAATAATAATAATTTCCCTTTACATTCTTACATATAGAAATTAATATTTATAAAATATATTTTTATGTTTCATAATCTACTACATCTAAATATTTACAAACTAATTACTTATGTAATACATTCTATAATATTTCAGAATAATTAGATACTACCTGGCATAAATTACTTAATATTTATATACAACTTTTTGTTAATTCAAAATATATATTATCTTTTATATGCATTGCAATTGTTTTTAAAGCTCCCGATTTTAATATTTTTTCGTGTGTTTCAATATTTTAACTTAATAACTGTAAACATTAAGATGCAGCTACTATTACATCTAAAGGGTTATATTTATTCATTAGAGGTACAATAGTTGTTAATATAAATGATTTTTCACATACTCTTATTTAAAATTTACCTTTTATTAAAAAATTAAAAAAAATTGATTTTTTTTATTACTATCTTGACAATATTGCTTTAATAATTCTAAAAAAATTGGATCGCTTTTAAAATATTTACAATCGATTTCACGTAGTTAAGCAAATTCATTAAATGATAATTATTTGCCTTATGGACGTTTTTTAAATTCGTAATATATATCATTTTAATCTTTTATCATAAAATTTATTAGATAAAAATTAAAAATAAGAAAAATATATGAAAATAATTAATAAAAAAATTATAAATATAATAATTATAAAAAAAAATTATTTAATTTAAATATTTTTAAAATAGTATTTATAAAAAATAAAATATTAAAGATATAATAAAAAAAGTTATATAATTAAATATATGTATATATATTTATATATATAAAATATTTTTATAATCTTATATTTATATAAAATAAATTCTATATAAGGCTAATATCCTATAATAAATAATTTTTTATATATTTTTTAATTTAATTTTATTCCTAATATAAAATTATTTTAGCATTTTTTTATTCAATAAAGCTTTCATTTTTGCGCATTTATATAGTTTTAATAAAATTATTTAATCTTATTTTTAAAAATATTTATTATATATAATAAAAAGTGCAAACATATTTTGTATAATTTATTAAAAAAATATTTATAATTTTATATTAATATATATAATTTAAAAAACAATTTTATGACATTCCAATATTAAAAAAAAAAAAACATTACTAAAAATCTACTATAAAATAATAAAAATAATTCTAAATAAAAATATTTTATATAATAATTTATATAAAAAAAAAATATTAAGTCAACTTTTTCATAAAATTCATGCTCCTAATTTTTTTTATACGAATCCTTTTTTACAAGCTTTACATTTTGCTGGGGCATTCTTTTATACAAAAGATGCATGTTCTTTCGATTTTTAGATTCTGGAATTAACAAAAGCTTATATAAGAGAAGCTTATTTACCTCTTGACGATTCGAAATCTTTTCTAAAAACATCTTAGCTAGCTTCATCTGCTGCATAGTCTCCAAATGCATCTGCTTATTATTATATAAATGATCTAATCTTAACTAATAAATCTTATTCGTCACTTCTTGATAATGTCGCGTTATTATATTCTTAATCGAAAGCAAAGCACATAGCAGCTGCGGCTTCTAATGCCTATTAATTTCTTTTTGCTTTTTAATTAGCTTTAGATAAGACATCAGATTCAACAACAACACATTATTAAACAATAATTAAATATTCATTTAATTTACTTTCATATTCATGTTATTATTCCAAAACTTACTTATATTAAGTAACAGTGTTATCAAATAATGTCTATCTTTCGTTTTCAGTTGCAGCGGCTAAATCGTAGGCTTTTATGAGATCATCTTCTAGTGCGTTGAATAGATTTCTGATTTTTAAAACCAAATCTCTAGGTACTCCAACTACTTAAGCATTTCCTAATTCAACTAAAGCTGATAAAAGTGGGGCTATAGCGTTTGTTTTTCCAGCTTTTGTGGTTCTGGCGAACAATTTTGTAATATGTCTAGTTAATTAGACAAAACCGACTGCACTATCTTCTAATTCTTGGATAATTGGGTAGGCATCTTAAACTGCTAAAATGGCAGGTTTTAATTGATTTTCTGATATTTCATTGTAATGTTCTCTTTCTTCCTTTCTTTTTTAGGTTAAGGAAGCTACAATGTTCTCAATAGCTCTAATATTTAAAGCTACTTGTGCTAAATTGGCATTTGTAGCAGTAACGGCATTTGTACATCTGTCTAATGAGATTTAGGCAGATTAGGCGGCTTCTTAGGCATCTTATACTTCTTTGTGTCTGAAAGCTAATTCTTCATCACATTATTTCTCTTGATCTTCTTTTAATTAGTTGTGATTTAATTATTCGGATATTATGTCAGAACTCATCTTATCTAAGTATTCAAGGAGAGAATTTGCAGCGTTGTTTTCGCTGTTTACATATTAGTCACAGAATGTTATGGCTAATATGGTAATTAATATTAAAATTGTCTTCATTTATATTGTTATTTGGTTTATCTTTTAATTTAATTTAATTTTATTTATTTATTTTTTATTTTTTTATTTTTTTCCTCTTTTATTTTTTTTTTTATTGTTTTTTTTTCGTTTTTGTTTGAAATTATATTATTTTATTTTTTTAAAAAACGGTAAATATATTAAAACGATATATATGTTTTTACATTTTATTTTCATTTATATTTTATTATTTATATACATTTAATTTTCTTATTTCTTTCTTTCTTAATATATCTAATTAAAAAAAAAAGTTAGATTATTTATAATTAAAAAAGCAAAAGCATTTATTTATTAGAAAAATGATTATAGATAAATACTTAAAGAAAAAATAATAAAATAAACAAATACTTTTGATATATATAAAATAAAAAAATTTAATTATATTGTTAATTAATAAAAATATAAATAACATTTTATTTTTAGTATTACTATTTTTTTATTTTACTTTTAGATATTTATTTTTTATATTATTATAAAATTTATAATAACCATAAGAAATTTTTTCATATTTTGATTATCTCATAATTTATAATAAAATTTGAAAATTTTTATAAAAAATATTTAATAATAGATAAATGTAAGTAATATTGGCTTTGAATGTATTAATATTTTCTAATTAATTTAAAATTTAAAGTAAAATATTATTTATACTAAATGAATTATATAGTTTTACTTGGGAATAATCTAAATATTTTAAAATTGTTTAAAAATGTTTACGAATAAATTAAAATTTAATTATTAAAATTATTTTTAAAATTTATTAAAATAAATTAATTATTATTTTTGTTAATATATTTATATTTCTAAATAGATAAAAATATGTAAATAAATAAATTTTAAATGGTTATTAAATAATAACATTAAAATTTATAAAATAAATTTACATATTTTTTAGAACATCATTATAAAAATATTAATAATTATTATATTTTTAATATACAAATAAACATTTTAAATAATTAGTTAAAAATAGCAATAATAATATTATAAGTTTTAGACAAACATATATTTTTAAGAAAAAAAATTATTAAAATCTATAAAAATGATAAAAATTTAATTTGTTCTTTGCTTTATTTATATAGTAATAAAAATTATATAACAAAAATAAAAAATTTAAAATAAATTTTAATCCAAAATAATAAAAACTATATTAAATAAATTTATAAACCTATAAAATATTATATCTTATATAAATTTGAACTTAATTAAAATCTGAAATAATTATATTTATAATATAAAAAAATGAAATAAAATAATAGTAATTAAGAATATTTATATTTTTTTTCTAATATAATATTTATAGAAATTGTAATAATTCTTTATATATATATATTAATATTAAATTATAAAGTAAAGGATAATTTATTTTTTGTTTAATTATTTTTTATATTAAAAAACAAAATATATAATTATTAGAAAAATCTTTTAAATGGAACCAGTTTTTATTTAGATTATTGGAAATTAAATATACAAACAATGTTATAAAAAAATATATGGTTAAACTATTTCTTAATATCAAGAAGAAGATTAAATTAAATTTGAAAATTGTTTACAAATGACTGACTAAGCTTATAAAATTGTTTAAAATAGTTTCGTAAAATATATTTCTAATTTAGATGAAAACTATAAATGAAAATAATAATATTTAATTAAAATTTAGTACCATTATTATTATTATTGGAATCACATATAAAAATAATATAAATAAGCTTTTAAATTTAAAATTATTTAATTTTTTTTTTTAAATAAAGAACATTATTAATTTTTAAAAATTAAATTAAGAAAATAAATTATATATTTTTTTTATACATAAATATATGTTTTTTTATAAAAAAAGAAAATATATGTTTGTTTTTTATTTATAATAAACATATGTTTTCTTTTTATAAAATAATAATAAAAAATTAAAGAAAATAATAATAATAATAATAATGAAAAGATATATACTTATTACAAAACTTAAAATTTGAATTAACTTAAACAAAATAAATAAAATATTATAAAAATATTTAAAATATTTTGTTTATTTATAAAAAATACTAAGAGGAAAAAAATATAAAAAAACATTATAAAAAAATAAAAATAAAAACGTAAATGAATAATCTAAATAAAAATTTCATATTTATATTATTATTAATTTTAAATATAACAATAACTTTCCAAATAAGAGATCTATAATAAATTCTAACAATCTCAAAAAATCCCGTCCGAGTAGAAATATGTGATAACTCAGACTATACAGGTGAAATTTCCAATTCTCAAGTATAAGAAGCAATAGATAGTTATCAAGAATATCGTTCTAATTTTGGAGATCAAATAGGTATGGATCTTTTAAATGGGGATTATAGTAAAATATATTCTAAAATAGCTATATTAGTAATAGTAATAATTATTGGATTCTTCCTAATTTTATCAATGATTATTTAATGTTTAAATATATTCTGTAAAATTGGTAAATAAAAAAAAAATATATTAAATTTAAAATAACAAAAAAAAGATGCAGGTACAATTTTAAATAATAAATTAAAAAAAAAAAAAATGTCTGGAAATCTAACCCCTAAATAATCAAATAGAACTATCTTAATAATACTTTATATTTCTTTAATATTCGTAAGTTTAGTTACTTTTAGCACATCAATAGCAGGATTTATACATACAGGATCTATTAATACTGAATATTTAGTATTTATTTAAAAATAATAATCATATATATATGTACATATAAAAAAAGGGGTTGAAATGCTCCGTAGTATCTGCTTTAGATGATTTAAATAGTAAATAAGTGTCAACATTTTAAGGCTAAACTGCTAATTTTTTAGGATTAGTTTTGATATAGGAAACATTAAAATTAATATATTAATAAATTGAAGGTTTTCTTTCCGAGCTTTCTAAAGTAGGAAACGCAAGTGATATTTCATATATATAATCTGCCTAATAGACAATAGTTAACGGTGTGTATTAGTTAGAAGGATAAGCTTTCGGCTGGTATACTTATACGTAATAAGTGATAGCTTAAGGAAATACAGACTCTTAGTATTTCAAAGATGGTGTATACGGACCTGCTTCTTAGGCTGGGACGTTATTAAATAATATGGTTTATGTAATGTAGTAATCTTCTGATACTATGATTTCTTAATTGACTAATGCTAATTAGATGGCAAGCTCTATTATTGGAAATACTAATTTGAAAGTCTTTTTGGTAAATGGGTAGACTATGATTTCAAATACTTAATTTGAGATTAATAATTTGGTTTAAAATGTTGTCAAAATGACATCTGGATTAGATTAGGCATTTTCAATTACTAGTGGATTTCAAATTGCTTTGTATTCTTTATTTGTGCTAGTTTCAACGTCTACTCTAGTGTTTTTGGCTTTTAATCATTTCAAGGTTAAGTTTAATTTTAAAAATTTAGTTCATTTTTCGTGGATTTTACTTGGGGTTTGTACACTTATTACTATCGTATTTTGTGTTATTTTTGGTTTAATGTCTATTGCAATTATGGAATTTTGCACTGTAGCTGGAGATGTTTTAACTGTAAAAATAAATATACAAAGCTATATTTATTTTTTTATTAAAAATAAAAAAAAAAGAATCCTAAAGAGCTTAATAATTTTAAATTATTTCAAGGAGAAATAAAAGATTCTATAAAGGAATGCAAAAAGGAATTAGGAGGAAAGGGAAATATTTTAAAAAATTTTGGTTTAGATAAAACATTATAAGAATTGTAAGATGTATAAAATTAAATAAATCTCATAGATTAATCCAGTAGTCTAAATTAAGACGCATTGACCAATTTATAAGGATATTACAGATAAATAAGCCTACAACATTAATATTTAAGAGATAAAGGATATTTTTGGATTGATAATGATATGGATAATTAAGTTTCTTCTGGTGATATTTTCTTAGCCGACTAAATTGAAGCTTAAGCTTTTTTAGATGAGTTTTAACTTGGAATGTAAGGGAAGTTAGAACCACCTAATAATGCAGATTATATGGACTGTTTTAATCCTCAAAATGGTTTTTATGAGAAAATTGTATTCGATATTTTATAGTGTGATTAGGAGAATGAAATTGTTATTACCTCGGCTGTAAATTTCAATATTAAAATCAGGGGGAAAGTATGTATAGTGTTTCCAGCTTTGAAAAAAGATTAAAACGCATTGAATTATAATTCAAGGTATACAGAATGTAATTCAACTAATATTGGGAAAAAATTTAAGAAATTATTCCTTTATTTAGAAGAAGTTAAATAAATGGCTGAAAAGGCTGGAGATAATGGAAATATTAAAAATAGAATTGTTCAAACTCAAGAATTAATTCCTTAGATTGATGCTTTTGTTTTTGGATTAGAAAATTATAAAACTAAATTTAAAAATCTTTTAGTTTCTGTATAACCTATATTTAATTAAATTTAATATCTCTCAAATAATGTTAATTGTCTTTTTTTTGGTGATAAATTAGGTAACATATAAATTATATATATATTTTTTTATCTTTTTTAAAAGATGATGTTTATGATTAATTATGTGTTGTACTAAATGTAAGTATATATAGAACTTTCAAAATTACAATAGTTTTAGTTTTCTCAAATTTCTTTTTTACTTTATTACTTTATAAAGCTGCCAAAAACTTTTAGAAAAATTAAAAACATGATCTACCTTCTACAAATGCTTAAATTCTTCCTGATAGTTAAAATAATATTCCCAATCAAAAGGAAAATGCTAAAGTTAAAAATTTACTAGATCCTGTTACTAGTGATCCATAATATTAATAACTTAATGGAAGACCTAGTAGGCCATCAATTGGAGATTTACATGTTTAATCTGTTAATTAAGATTTATAAGGAAGTGAAAATTAAATGATAAAATAAAGATGAAAAAAATAAAAAATAGATATGAAATTATATATTATATAAATAAATATTTAGTTATTCAAAAATAATTTTATTTTTATATTATTATTTTATATATTATATTTTATATTTTCAAAAAAAAAAACATTATTGTAAAAAAATATATATTTATTTATTTTCTAATACATATATACATTAATTTTAAATAATTAATTATTTTATTTAATGAAATAAATTGTTCTAGATGCAGTTTTTGGAGCAAGATTATTTTATGTTTCATTTAATGGTTTTGGAATTTTTTTGATATTTTTATATAATAATTCAATAAGATAAGACATTCTTTAATTAAATTTAGTCTATCCAATTTTTTATTTTACACTTATATTTATTTCAGGTTACATGTTTTGGACTTGTGGTTAAAATCCAGGATTTGTAAAAATTAGTAAATAAGAAAACGATATATCAATTTAAAAATTATAAATATAAAATCCAAATGAAATTACTATTGATGATAAAGAATAATAAGGAGATTATATAAAAATAGAATAATAATTGTAATAATAGAAAGATAATATAAATGAATATAAAGCTCCTGATCTTTATTTTTGTACAAAATGTAATTAATATTGTCCTTATAGATCGAGACATTGTGATTTATGTGAAATATGTATTCATAAATATGATCATCATTGGTATTTTAATTATTAAATATATAAGAAATTTTAAAAGCTTTTGGATTGGTGGCTGTGTTGGAGAATTAAATCATAGGACTTTTTGGTTGTTTTTATTTATATAAACAATAGTGATTTTATTAACATTCATAAATGTAGATAGAATTATTATTATATAAATATAAATATAAATATAAATATAAATATAAATATAAATATATATTTATATATATATATATATATATATTAATTTTTTTTTTTCTTTTAATTTTAAATTTTTTATACTTAATTATATAAAAAATAAAGTTTTTTGATGCACTTGATTTATATTAATTTTCAGATGAATACGGTTAAACTTAATATACATAAGAATATGGTGCTTATGTTGTTTTTAATATTTTATTATTCTTTTTTATGATATTTACTGTATTTATATATATTTTTTAATTATTTTTTTATATATTATTATTCTAATCAATTATATAATTTAAGGGTGGATTATGTATTTATCATACTTTTTTGATTTCTACAAATTAAAGTACTTGGGAGCATAATAGAAGATATTCGATTTCTTATTTAAAAGGATATCCTAGTGGATATTATCCATTTAATAAGGGTTTTTTATAAAATATAAAGGTAATTTTTTTCCATAAAAACAATATATAAAACTGGAAAGTCGCCTCTATTTTTGAAGCTAAATAAATAACTAAAAAAATTTTAATATATGTGAAAATGAATATTATAGTTGTTGTTGAATTAAAAATAATTAATAAATATTATAATAATATTAAAATTTTAAACATTTATTATTTTTTGTTAAAAATAAATATAAAACTATATATTTATTTATTTATATTTATATTTTATAAAATATGTATTAAATTAGTTTATATTTAAGCAAAAATGAATAAAGCCCAGAAATCAAAAATACATTAATGCTTTAAAATGAACTCTAATTATATAAAGTAAATATTCCCCATTCTCCCAAGTAATATTAAACATATATTTTAATATCCAAATCATAAAAGAAAAATAAATAGTAGATTTAATTTTTACATAACTTATAAATACTCTCATAAACTAAACCCACACTCGAAAACATGTTTTTAATAGAAATAATAAACGAAGTTATATATTAAACAGAAACAGAAACATCCTTACTTAAAATATTTTACTAGAATTAACTTAAAGAAGATTCTAAACATTAAAAAAATATAATTTAGTATTTATTAAATGATCTAAACTCTTTTAATAAAGAAACAGAAGAATATATATTACTTAAATAATAATAGGACATTTAATGAATAAATAAAAATATAAAATTTGAAAATTAGGCATTTAATCATTATACAAACACCACCCAAAAAAAAAAAAAAACATTAATTAATATAATTCACTACATTTAAAAATTCAATGCCTATTAGATATAATAATGAAAAATATTTATATTAAGAATCTAATAAGGGTTTTTTCTAAATGATAAAATGTAAAAATAAGTTAATTTCTTAAGAATTAGAAAAAATATTGACTTTAATAAAAGAAACTATATATGAAAATTTATATAAATATTTTTATTGAGTTTTTTTTTTTTTTTTCATTTTCTTTTTTTATATAATTCAGCTTTTTATTATAATGATAAATCAAATTTTTTTATTTATTTTCCGTTTAATATATCGAATAATATATCCTCGTATATCTTTCGTCCTTAAAATTGATTTTTTTCAAAATTTATCCATATTTTACCAAACGAAGTTAACTCGGATCTAGAATATCCACCAAATGTTGGTTCTAAATTAGCAAATTCACTTATATGGAAATATTTTTTGGAAGGAATCTTTTATTTATTTTTTTTGATAAAAATATATATATATTTTTATCAAAAAAAAAAAAACAAAAAACCCAAAATGCATTAAAAAATTCAGCCTCAACATAATCTCCTTTTCTGAAAATTTTTAATTTATGAATAGTCCTTTTTGATATTACATTTAAAAAAACTAAAATTCCTATACCACATAATGAACATAATGAAAATTATAAACTATTCCATCCCCCAAATACTTTAATTATACATAATATTTAAGCATTTAAAAAGAATTTTTTTTACTTGGATATGAAAATTCTCCAACGGCTAAAAAAGTATTTAAAATTGTAAATAAAGTTCCTATTCTTACTCCGTATTTTAAATCTCTCTTTTATATAAATTCTTTTTTATCTTATAATAGTTTTTATTTTTTTACTTCTCCATTTGTATGTTAGAATATTAATGATTTATTTTCTTCATCAAAAACAAATATTTCAAAATCTTGATTGATTTTAGATTGTTTTTGATAATCTTTTTGTTGATTTTTTAATGTAGAGAATTAATTAATATATCTATAAGAGAATATATTATTATAAAAATTTTAATTTGATCTTAAAAATTTAGAAAATATCATTATTTTTATTTAATTGGTTATTTATTTATAAATAAATTAAAATCTTGTATTTTTTTTTAAAAAAAAATTAATGTATAACATCAAAAAATAAAGAAAAAATGTTTTTAATCATTAAAAAAAAAAAAATTAATCAATTATAAATGCATTATATAAAATATTATATATTTATTTATAAATCTTCTTTATAAATTTATATTTTTTATTAAAATATAAAATATTGAAATTAAAATATAATTTATAAATAATATAAAGATATTAAAATTTGAAAATATATGTTTTATTATTTTATATAATAACAAAATTCTTAATATTTAATTAATAATAAAAAATAAAAATATATATTTATCTATGTATATAATTTATATTAATAATTGTTATATTTATATTTACATTATTAATTGAATAATATAGAATAGATTTTAATAAAAAAAGAAGAAAAAATAAATACAATATAAATCTAAAATAAATGAATTAAGAAGAAACAAAAGAAATACCTTAAGTATTATCATAATTTATACAAAAATCATTTATTTTAATATCTAACAAAAAATAAGAAATTTTATATAAAATAAATTTTTATAAAAAAGAGTCTTGTAGAAAAAGTAGAGACACACGACAAGATAAATACTCTTTTCGATGAAGATAAAGATAAATTTATTGGTGAATTTACATGTTAATATTATACTATAATGAGAGGATATATAAACGGTTAAGGACGTTAATTACGTTTATATTATACTAAATTAGAGCCTAATGGTTTAAAAAAAGCCACAGTATGTATAGTACATGGTTTTGGTGAACATTCAGGCCGTTTTTTACATGTAAAAAAAAAATTAAATAATTATTTAGATATTTTTTAATTTGAAAAAAAAAAAAAAAAGATAGCAGATTAATTAGCAAAAGAAGGTTTTGTAGTATAGCTTATAGATCTAAGAGGATTCGGGTAAATATATGGGATATATAATTATTTACAATAATATTAAAAAAGGTATTCAGGAGGACCAAGAGGAGCTTCAACAATAGAAGAACTACACTAAGATATACATATGTTAATAAAATAAGCAAATAAAGACTTACCTTTATTCCTTTATGGACATTCTTTAGGCGGATAATTAGTGACAACATTTGCAATATAAAATCCTTTACTTAATATTGGAGGTGTTATTATAACTAGCGCTTTATTTGGGTTTCCAAAAGATAGATAGATGAACTTTTTAAAGATATTTATAGTAAAAGCATTGGGTAAAAAGCTAGAAGATATTGTTATTAATTCAATGATTAATCACACTGCATTAACAAAAAATGATAATTATATAAAAAATTGTTTCGGAGATAGATTAATGATACCATTTTTAGGGTTATTATTATAAAAAAAAACAAAAAAATATAAAAATTTAGGTTTAATATGGCTAAAAATATACTTGAAGGTACATAATTTGTACTTCCTAATGCTAAAAAATTTACATTTCCATGTCTAATTATACACGGAGAAAAAGATATGGTAACAAATTATCATGATTCTGTAATTTTTTATAATTAATGTTCAAGGTATATAAAATATTTAATTTATATAAAATAATGTAATTATAAATATTAAATAATTATTATTATTATTATTATTATTATTATTATTATTATTATTATTATTATTATTATTTAAAAAAATTATTATCTTTTATTCAAATTAATATAATATTTTAAATTATTATATTAAATATAAAAATTTTTATAGTTAAGATAAAACTTTAAAATTATTTGAAAATGGATATCATGAATTATAACATGATGAAGAATGTAATTAATTAGTATTTACTGTTACATAATGGATTTTATAAAGATATTAATAAGCTAAACCTTTTGGTATATATATATGTATAAGTTTATATATTTTTAAATATATATATATATATATATATAAATATGTATATTATATTTATTATTATTTTTTATTTTTCCATTTTTTTATTTTATCTTTTATTTTATTTTTTATTTTATTTATTATATTAATTTTTTTTAAATTGCTATTGTTTTTATTTATAATTTATTATTAATTTAAATTTATAAATTTTATATAATCTTTCTTTTTTTATATTTATTAATAAAATAATATTAATATTATTTATTTTTTATTATGGTATATTCTAAAAATACTTTATATAAAAATCTCTACATCACATATATATTTTTTTTAGTGATAGTTATTTTTTATAAAATGTCAGAAATAATAAAAAATAATATTATTAAAAATTTTATTTTATATAATTTATATCTATATATATTTTATTATTATTGGATAGGAATTCTTCCTAAAATTTAATGTGGATTAAATAATAATAAAACTAATAATTAATTTAAAAAAAAATTAGTTTTATTATTTGCATTTATATATTTTTTGCTTATTTTAAAGTATTATTTTTACAATTTTTTTTTATATATATTTTTATTTTAAAAAAAAAATTATAACCAAGATATAGAAATTAAAGTAAAGATTGGAAAATTTGGATTATTATGCCTTTAATTAAACTTTTATAAAAAAAAAAATGAAAAATTTATAAAAATTTTATTTCATCAATTTTAATATTATTTTTAATATTTATTTAATACATAATAATTATTACAAGATTACAATTAATAATTAAATTTTTAATTATTTTATTATTTTATTATATTTTAACGATTAAATAACAAAAAAATTATAGATAAAAATATATAATTTACAAATAAATAATTTATTCATACTATTAAAAAATATTTAAAACAATATAACCTAATAAATTAAATTTAAAAAAAAATAAATTTTTTTCTAAAATACTAAAGAATATTTCATTTTTTAATTTATACTTTTCCATTTGATATTAAATCAATTATTTATTATGTAATGTTATTTTTATCATTTTAAATTCAAATAAATAATATTAAAATTTATAATAGTAAACTAACTATAAAAATAAGATAGTTATATATAATTATATGTATATTAGATTCATTGTTTTTAAATAAAATGTTATTAGTTACTTATTTTTATTTGTAAAAAGTTATATTTATAATTTTAAGCCAAAAATTTTTCTTTATATTCATATATAAAAAATAAATATAATAAATATTTATTATTATTTTTAAAATAGTCTAATGTTTTAATTTGATAAGATATAATACTTGAAAACTTAAAAACTTACTTTGAAAATTTAAAAAAAAGGAAAATGAAAATTTCAATAATTAAAATTAAATGTAAACAATATTAAAAAAAATAAAAAATTATAATTTTTGTATGATTCTTAAACAGAAAATGCTACAAACTTAACAGGTTACAATAATTATATTTTTAAATATATAACACATATTACTTTTATTTTTCTATTTTAAGTTTATTTTAAATTGAAATAATAATATAAATATTATTTAATTCATATTTGTTCAATATTTAAAGATCAAAATAAATAATTTTAGTAAATCATAAAATTTTAAAAAAATGTTTTAATTTTTATAAAAAATATTAAATGAATGTGATTTATAATTTATTATAATATTAATAAATAAAATAGCCTTATATAAAATATAATTAAAATAATATTTGACAGCTTAATAATTATTAGATGAATGCTAAAATCTTCTTTTCGCAAAAATCTATAAAAATTAAGATATTTAGAAATTTTTAATGGTTAGTAAATTTTAAATAGTAAATAATATATTATTAACAAAATATAATAAAATAATTATCATTATAAAAATGTTTAAAAATTATAAAATAAAATATTTTATAGATTATTTAAAGAATTTCAAAGATAAAAAAAAAAAAAAATAATAAAATTTTAAAATAATATAGTAAAATGATAAAGAAAATCATATTTTCAAATAGATAGAATGAATAATTAATAATTTTTTATTATATAAGATTTTAAGCATAAAGGTTAGCCTTTATTAAATTAATTGTGTGAAATATTACAATTTTAAGTATTTTTGATTAAAAATATTATGAAATTTAAATAAAAAATGAAAATTGATAATAAATAAATTTATTAAAAAAATTAAAATTAATAGAAATAGAAATATATAATAAATGCTAAAAATAAAAAAATATTTAATATTAGATTAAATGATTAAAAAATATAAAATAAAAAAAAATAAAAAAAAAATTAAAAAAAAAAAAAAAATTTAAAAAAAATATCTATTATAAAAAGAAAAAAAAACTAATATAATATAGATAATTTTTTAATTATTATAAAATAAAAAATATAAATATAAAATAATCATGTAATTTATATAAATATATATAAAATAATATATATATATATATAAATATAAATATAAATATAAATATAAATATAAATATAAATATAAATTTTTTATCTATTATTTTAATTTTAATTTTTTTTTAATTATTTTTTTTTTTAATATATTTATAATAATTTTTTTTTTATTTTTATTCTTCTATTTTTTTAAATTAATATTTACAATTTATTATTCATTATATTTGTGACTTTTTTATATATAATTTTTTATTTAAATTTTAGTATTCTTATATTATTTTACTATATTTATACTGCATTTTTATTTATTATCTTATTTATTAATTTAACTGTATTATATATATTTAACATTTAATTAAATAGGCAATTTATTATTAAATTTAATTATAAAATATATAAAATTATATAAATATAATATTATTTTAATTACTAATAATAGAAAATAAAAATGGTAAATTATTTATGAAATATTAAATTTAATAATGTTTAAAATATATAGTAACAAATATAAGAAAAACATGTTGGTAAATACTCTATTGAGGTATCTAATTTAATTGGTTAAGGAGCTTTTGGTAAAGTATACAAAGGTCGATGTATTGAAAATGGATAAAAAGTAGCAATAAAATAATTAGACAAGAAATCTATTTAATCTGATGAATATTTAGTAAAAGGACTAATTTATGAAATATAAATTCTAAAAAAGTTAAAAAGCCCGTACGTAGTTGAATTATTAGACGTTTTAGAAACTGCTAATAATTATTATTTAGTATAAGAATGTTGCGATGGTGGAGATATGAGAAAAATTTTAAAGCTTAGAGGCTATTTTTATGAAGATGAAGCTTTGGAGATCCTAAAGAATCTTTTATGTGGATTTTTAGATTTGTTAAAAAATGGAATTATTCATAGAGATTTAAAACCTGAGAACCTTCTAATAAAAGATGGAATATACAAATTGGCTGATTTCGGACTTTCAAGGACTGTTGATAATTTCCAAAGACAGCAATTAACATCTGTTGTGGGAACTCCATTATATATGTCTCCTTAAATTTTAAGAAGAGAAAAATATGTAATATTATATAAAAAATATATTATTTTATATATACATATAATACATATATATATATATTATTATTATTTTTTTTTAAAAAAAATAAAAAAATAGACATCTAAAAGTGATTTATATTCTTTAGGATTTATATATTATGAAATGCTTTATGGAAAACCTCCTTTTATTGGAAATTCTGAATATGCTCTTGTATAGAGTATTTTGAAATAAAATATTGACTTTCCTAATAAATTTAATGTTTCTGAAAATTCATAAGATTTTATTCGAAGATGCCTGAGAGTGGAAGAATCGTAAAGATTAGAATGGGCTGAAGTCTATAAGCATCCTTTATTGTAAGGTTATTTTTAAAAATTCAATATATAAGATGAAAAGATGGAAGATAAGGCAATGCAAGTTATAAATAATTTAAAGACAATTTATATATAAGAATAAATTTGATATTTAAGAAATATTTTAATAGTTGGATATTTCTAAAGATAAAAATGTAGAAATTAAAGAATTTTCAGAATTAATGAAAAGCATTGACCCTAATTTAGAAAGGGCTGAAATCGAATTTATTTTTAATAAATTTGATGTTGATAAAAGTAATACTATTACTTTTAGAGAATTTAATTCTTATCTTTAAATTGATAATAATGATAATAATGTATAAAAAAAGTATATTATTTTTATAATTAATTTTTATTCATATAAATAATATTTGATTTATAATATATACGTATATTTATAGTTTTAATGCTTCTAATACTTGTATTTCCTAAAATAATTATGAAAATGAGCAAAAAGCTTTGAAAGTTATATAAAAACTATAATATGCAATCGAAAAATAAAATGTGGACTTAAAATTATTGTTTGCTAGGTATGATAAGGAAAAAATAAAGAATTAAGTGTCGATGAATTAGGAACTCTTTTAAGAAAAGTTTAATAAGATATTTAATAAGATGAGGTTTAATCTATTTTTACAAAATTTGATAAAAATAATGATAATTCTATTACGTTTGATGAGTTTTGGTAAATATTAAAAAAAAAATGATTATTAGTGTATTTTTTTTCTTTCTATTAAATAATATTTTTATGATATTTTTTTATTTTATTTATATAATATTATATAATAATTATTTTATTCATTTATTTCGTATTAAAAATAAACATTTTTTTGTTATTGTTTGATATAAAATTATTTAACTTTCTAAAATAAAATAAAACAAACAAAAAATATTTATTTTTTCCAAAGATAATTTATACTTTAGCATAAATTTAAAGAATTTTTTTTGATGAATATTTAAGCCATATTATTATCAAATTATATATGAAATATTCGCTATTTTTTTATTAAAAACTTTATTTTTATAATATAAAAAAGCTCCGAGCATTAATTATTATTTAAAATATATTTTTTTTCTTTAAATATACTATTTTACTCATACAAAAAAAGAGATTACAAAAAAAAAATTTAATGATTTTTTTTTTTTTTATTAAAAAAAAAAAATAATTATAAAAAACTAAAAATAAAAAAATTACTAAAAAAAAAAATATATATATAAAAAAAAAAAAATCAAAGAGGATCATGGTGACTCATAACAATATAAAATGCAGTTTCTATGTCAGTAATTAATACATTTCTATCTTTAACTTCAATTCCAAATTCTTTTTCTAATGCTTCATGAATTTAAACTGCTGTACCAACATCTGAAAAACCATTTTCATCTCTAAAATGTGTTTTAAAAGTGATTGGTACTGGTTCCCATCTTGCTGGATCATATTTTCTTAATCTTTCTCCAATACATTTAATAATTCTTTTTGCTGTTATCCCAGGCTTTAATTTTAATTATTTGTTTTTTTAAATTATTTTAATAAATATTTTATTACATTTGCTTAAACTCCACCAAAAGAACTTTCGGGGAAAATATAATATTTTTTTGGAATTAAATTGAATTAAGATTATTAAAGTGCTAATTTTTGAAATTTTTTTTATAAATTGCTAAACATCTTTTCTTTTTTTTTTTTTTTTGAATATTTTTAATTATTTTTTTCTTTTTATTTATAAAAAAAATAATTATTATATAAAATATAATTTATTCTTTTTTTATTTTTTTCTTATTTATTAAATAATAAAAATACTAAATTATTTATATATATAATTTTTTTTTTTAAAAAATATAATATAATTTTAATTTGAATATATATATTATATTTTATTATTAATATTATTTTATTTAATATTTATATTTATAATAATTTTATTATTACAAATTTTATATCTGATAATTAACTATTTATATGTATTTACAAATTATATTTTATATTATATGTTTTTTTATTTACAATTTAAAATTATCTTAAACATTAATAATATAATATTTAAGATTATTCTATCAATATCTTTATTATTTTACTATCTTTTTTTTTATAAATTATTTATATATATAAATTAAATATTTATTCCAAAAAATTATTTAAAATTTTATTCTAAAATTAAAATTATGTAAATTACAAGTAAACAAATTTTAAAATAATTAAATATTTGATTTGCTTTCTATAAAAACTATTTATATTATTAATAAAATTTTAATATTTATTATAATCTTATAACTTATTTATATTTAATAAGAAATATAAGTAAATAAATATTTCTAAAAAATAATACTAAAATTTTTTAAAACACAATTTTTTATTTAAACAAAAAAAAAAAAAAAAAAAAAAAAACAACTCAAAATAATTTTAAAATAAAAAATATAAAAAATTATCAATTAGAAATTCCTATAAACTACTCGATTTAATATCCTTAAAAATATAAAAAAAATAAAAAAAAGATTTTAAAATAAAATTACTTTAATTTAAAATATTATTAATAAAAAACACATCGTTTTTAATTTATTCAACTTAAATTTTTTAAACAGACTCAATTTTTTATAATTATTCAACCCAACACTAAACGGAAACATTGCTTTATTTTTTAACAAATTAAAAAATATTGATTTTAGTATTATTTTTATTAAATAAATTAATATTTGAATTTTTATATTATTTTTTAAAATTTTTTATTCCTTTATTAAAATTATCTTTACTACTTTATTTAATTTCCTAAACTGTTTAATCTGTCGAAGCTCTTCTTTTGAGTCCTTAAAAAAGCAAAAATTTTTCGATATTATAGTGTTCTTAATCGAAATCTCCCTTTTATGAATACTATTTGGTATTGTCTGAATATTTAGTACTTTCGGCTGTTGTATAAATTGTTTTTGCAGGAGAAGGTTTTATTTTGGGAAGGGGTAATTTTTTTTTTTTCTTAGGAATTATTTATTTTTAAGTAAGATTAGCATAACTATTATTTCTTTTTTACGAAAAAAAAGATTAATCTTTTGTTTAGTTTATGTCCTCTTCTGAAATTATTTAATTGCAGTCATATTTTTCTTCAAAAGATTTATTATTATTTCTCTTTACTAAAAAATTTAAAATTTTTGCGAACTTTATTTAATTTACGTCTTCTGAGTATTTTCTTTGTTTCTAAAAATATTTAAATTAATCAATTTTTTTAAAGAAATTGTTTTTTTCTATTAGTGTAATTTTTTATTCTTGTTTTTAATTTACATCTTATTATTCCACTTATTTCATTATGTTTTCTTGAGTTATATTTTCTACATTATAATAATTTTACCCTTTATACTCATATAATTTAAACATAAAATATCCATTTCACATCCTTTATTAATTTCTATTTCATCAAAATCGTTTTCATATAGAGGAATGCTTTCATAACCTAATTCAGGAATCGATATTATGAAAAAACGAGGCCCTGATTTTTCGTATAAACTCTTGTATTCTGTATTATTATCTTTTATATGTATCCTTATTTTTGAATTTTCATGAATATATAAAATTTAAGGATTGAATTTGAAATTTTATAATGTTATTAAGGTTTCAGGTTTGTTTATTTATATTTGATTTTATTATATAGATTAATAATGAAACTATAATTTATTCATTTATTTTAATTTAATATTATTATTATTATTATTATTATTATTATTATTATTATTATTTATTTTTATTATATATTTAAAAAAAAAAATATATTTTTTTTTATATATTTTATTTATTTTTTATTATGAATGTATATATATTTTTTTAAACATTTAAATTTTTTTTTATTATTTAAAATTATATTAAAAGTTTAATATTTATAATTTTTTAAAAATATTTTTTATATATTTTTTATTTTATAATTATATTAAATTATTAATAAACTCTAATAATTTTATTATAATATAAAGATTATTTTTACATATATATAATTATTTATTATATTATTATTCTATTTTCAAATTATTTATTTTTAATTATGTTTTTATTTCATTTATTAATATTTCTACTATTTTTATATATTAAAAATATATTAATGTAAATAATATTTTAATAAATTAATATCATTATTATATATTTTAAATAAATAATTATATAATATATTTATGAATATAATTAATATTGTGATATAATAATAATATAATACTATTTAAAATATTTTTTTATTATATTTTAAAATAATCTTATTTTATATAAATATAATCATTTATAATTTTATTCTAAATTATAAAATTCGCTTTAAAATCAAAATAAATCTAATAAGATAATTTTTTTTTTAGAAAATATTTAAAAATAAAAAAAATTACATAAAAAATCAATAAAAGATAAAATAATATTTCTTATTATATATTAAAATTAAATATATATAATTAAATAAATGTATTTATTTTATAAATTTAATACTTTTTTTAAAAATTATAATAATGATTATAAAGAAAAAATATATATTATATCCTAATATATATATTTTTTTTTATTTTTTATTTCAAATATTATTCATTTTAACTGTATATTCCATAAACATTTCTCTTTATGATTCTTTCAATTCTTCTCCAACTTTTAATGCTTAAAGTTCTTATCTTTTGCCTTTAAAAATAATTAATAATATATACTAATTTTTGTTATTTTAATTTATACAAATTTATTCTAATTTTTCTTCATTAATACAAATTTATTCTAAACCCCATCTTCTACCATAATCCTTTTTTTATTTTTACGATTTATTTTAAATATTTTTTTTTTTTTAATTTATTTACAAAACATGATGCTAATATACCTCCATATAACATCATTTTTGGGTATTCCCATGGACCTTTTTTATTTTTGTATTATATTTTATATCTCATTTATTTTTTATACGTGAACAAAACATAACGTATGCTACTTTATTTGAAACTGTTTTTACAATAAATCCGGCACACATACCCCATATAAAAGTTGAACTCATTATTTTTGAATTTTTTGTTTATTATTATTTATTTATTTAATAAAAAATACTTATATAAGATTATATATAGTGATAATAATAATAATATATATATATTTTTTCTTTTAATATAAATATAATATATACTATGTTTTTAATTAACATTATTTATTTATCTCTAATTTATTTATATAAAAAATTAATTAGAAATATTTAATTATTTTTTAGTATTTTTTTATAAAATAATTTTTACCGATTTTTTTTTATTAATTAAAATAATTAAATTCTGAAACCTTTTTAAATAATATAAATAAAGTGTATTTATATTAAATATTTTATTTAATTTAAGTAATTGTAAGTTAAAATATATTATTGATATACTTTGATAATAATATTATTTATAACTTTTATAAATATATTTTTTTGTTATTATTTAATAAACTCTCTTTTAAATAAAAGAAATAATTAAAAATATGTATATTATAAAAATAATATAATAAATTTCAAAAAATTTTATTAATTAATGAAATACAAACTATAATTCAATATAATTTTTTTTTTTATAAATAATATTATAACAATAAAATATTCTATAAATATTAAATTGTAATATAATTAACAATCATTAATATAGAATATGAATATATATATATATATATATATATATATATATATATATATATATATATATATATATATATATATATATATATATATATATAAAACTATTTTAAAATAGTATAAACTAAAATAGAGAATCAAATAATCTAATTTTTTGTTTTAAATATAGAAATTAGTAAAATCTCTATAAATATATCGACTTTTAAAAACTATTAATTTAATTAGTTAAAAAATATATGTATTTTAAATAAAAGTGAAATATTTTTATTAAATTATAATTTAATTTTAACAATAAAAAAAATAAATATTTAGCAATATTTTTATTTCCAAAAAAAAAAACATGAATAATTAACAACTAAACTCATTAATTAAAAGTTCTAAAAAATTATTTTAGGATAAATACTAGTAAATGTTTTATAGCATAGATACAAATAAATCAATAAATACATTAATATATGGACAAGAGATATAAAAATATACTTAAAACGGAAAAAATAAACATTATTGCCTTTTTTATCTTTTAGAAGATAATTATTAGATTTTATAATGGCTTTCTAAATCTAAAAAATATGAAGATTCTCGAATATACTTAAATTAAATAAAAAATATTTATGAAAGACCATTAAATGAAGACATATGTGCACAGAATGAATTTAATTATGACAGATTATTATGTTTAGTTTTAGATAATTAAAGAGAATTTGTATTAGAATTTGATGAGAGAAATCAAAAAATGGAATTTTGGAAAGGATTATGCTTTTTGAAAGAATTTGGTTCAGAATTAGATATAGAGAAGTATTAATTTTATTTTGTTGTTGTTATAAATAAATACATGTTAAAAAAAAAAAAAAAAAGTAATTCAAATGATTAATGGATAAAGGAAGCTATTTTAACATTAGATATAGATAAAAATAAGAAATTAAATTAAAAAGAAACTAAGAAACTTTTAAGGAGATTGTAAATATAGATATAGAATGAGAATTTGGATAAATTTTTTATTAAATTTAGTGTTGAAAATTTATTAAGTTTTAAGTAATTTATTGAACTTTGTAAGGCTTTATTAGAAAAATAAGAACTTAAAAATCTCTATGAGAAATATTCAATGTTAAAAAGTTTAATTACTACAAAAGAAATTAGCATTTTTTATGAAAAAGAATAAGGAGAAGATTTAAATGAAAAATAAATTATTTAAAAATTTAATAAGTTTAATAAAGGAAAAGAAAAAAAATCTATTAATTTTTAAACTTTTTCATAGTTAATATTTTCTCATGATAATCTTATTTTTAATCCAAATAAATAATAACTTAATGATGTAAAAATATATATTCATACATAATATATAAATATATATAAAAAAATTAGAATATGGATTAACCTTTATCAAATTATTATATATATAGTTCTTAAAATACACATTTATTATATGATATAAACTCTAATATAAAAGAAAATACAAGAGCATATATATATGCGTTTTAAAAAGGTTGCAAATATATAGAAATAATAACAGAGGAAGGTCCAAATAATGAACCTATTATATATTAAGGAGTATAAAGAAAAGAGTTTATTTTATTGAGTGAATGTCTAAAAGCTATAAAACAATATGGATTTGAGAAAAGTTAATTTCCTGTATTATTATATTTGAAGAATAGATGCTATAATATTGAATAATAGAATAAAATCGCGGAAATATTAATAAGTATTTTAGTCGATAATTTATATTATATTCCTGAGGATTTTCTTTAATGGAAACTATTACCTTCCCCTAATTAACTTAAGAGAAAAGTGGTTTTATGTTGCGAAGGGAGATTTGCGAATATTATTTATTAATATGAAAAAAAAATAGCTAAAAAAATAAAACTGTAGGAAATTGAAGAAAAAGAATAACTTAAAAGAATAGAAGAAGAAGAAAATATTAATAAAGGAAGTAAAAGGAAAATAATTTAATAAATAAAATAAAAATAAATATCTTCAGAAATAGATTAAATTATTGACCTCGGATTACTTTTAGATAAGGGTTTTTTAAATGACGAAAATAATGGGATTAATCATGTCTAGGGATTTAATTAAATATTAATAAATGTAAATAGAGAAAGTAAGAGTTCGAATGTATTATTTAATAATAATTAAGTTATAGATAATAATAAAGAGAATTTTTTAATAAAAGGTAGTTTATAAGAAACTAACTAATAAAAAAAATAAAATAAAACAAAAAAAATAATATCTAATTAATTAGAAAAATGTATTTCTTTATTTATTCAAAAAAATAATGATTAAATTAATATTGAAAACAATAAATATAATGATAAATATTAGAATTTTTTTATATGGAATTTATTTTCTTAAAAAAATTAAGATTTTTTAAAAAATTAATAAAATTAAATTATTTATAATAATTAAAAATTTCTCAATAGAATAAAATTCATAATTTTAAACATGAAATTTTCCTTTAAAATTTAATGTTAGGCTATCAAATTGTTCCTTTTGATTTTTTTAATAACGCACAAATTTCTTTTATTTGTTATTAATAATTTTTCAAATAAAATAACTTATCAGGTTATGTACTTAAACCTAATATGTTATAAAGTTAATGTTTATCAAAAAATATCTTATTTGAAATGATTATGCTTAAAATTTAGATTGAAATTATTAGTGCTTAAAGTATTAGAATACCAGGTGATGAAGAAAAAATATTCCCTTTTTAAATTTATGTCAATTTAATAGGAAACAAAATAGATTAAAAGGCAAATCCGAATATTTTTGTATCTTAGGTGATCAATGATAATAATTTTAATCCATAAATTTACCCTTTTAAAGCTCATTTTTAAATTTGCAATCCTGAGTTTGCATTTTGTAAGTTTATTTGGTAAATTCTGAAAATTAGAGTAAGTTTGCATAATATATTATTCCTTTTAATTGTATTAGATAAGGGTTTAGACTAATTCCATTAATGGATATTTAGTTTAATACTATTCCGAATTCTTATTTGTTTGGAAGAATTAGTATTTTATAATAAAATTATATTTGAAAGAATAAAATAAAAAAATATTAATATTTATAAAAAATATGATTTAAATTTAGTTATATATAATATGTATATATATAATATATATATATATATATATATATATATAAATATATATATTTGTTTTTTTCAATTTTAATATGAATGATTAACTGTGTTTATAAAAATTTTATTTGCATTATTTCCTTGTTAGCATACATTAATTTTTTATTTATTTAAAACTGCTAATTATTCTTTTAATATTACTGTCAATTCCATAGTTTTCAATAAAACACCTTTTAATTCTTCATGCCTAGCATTTATATTTATTTTACCCAAATGTCTTTTATCTTTTTAAATATATATTTATATATTTATATATTTATATATTTATATATTTTTATATATTTATATATTTATATATTTTTATATTTTTATCTTTTTTATTTATAATTTTTTTATATTTTTTATTTATTAATTTAACCTGTTTCTTTTTCTTCATCTTTAGTTTATTTTGTAAAATCTTTTTATTTTGACTTTTTATTTTAACTAAGTACTTCCCATATTCTAAGATTTTTTGTTTCATTGTATTTATTTTTCAATGTATTAAATTCTCTTTAAAAATCTTCCAAAGTCATATCTTTTTAATATTTATCTAATTCATATATATGAACTTTTAAATTTCCTTACTTAATTTAATATTTGCATTTTTAATAATGTAAAATTATATATATATATATTTTTGTTTAATTTACAGCACTTCTATATGCTCTATATGTTATTTTACTATTTAATTATTAAGAAAGTTCATTTGCTTCTCCCATTTTAATTAGCATTTCATATTCAAATTCATTTCTGCCTTTACTTATAGTAAGTTTTAAAAGACGATCTATTTCTTTTTCTCTTTCTTTTTATTTTAAAAGATAATATTTCGATTTATTAGGTGCTGGTGGTTTTTCATGCTAAATATCCCTTAATTTTTATATTATTTTTTTTTTTTAAAAAATTTAAATTATATATTATTTATTTTTACATATTTAATAATTATTCACTTATTTTAAATTATTTTTAAGATTAATATATTGTTCGTTTATTTATTTAAGTTAGACTACTAACTGGTCTTTAATTCATTTTTTGAATTTTAAAGTTATTTTTTACTTTGTTTTATGATTAGTTTGCTACTTATAATGATTTTTATTTTATATATTCCATCATTGCGCTTTCATTTTCTTTCCAATATGGAACATTAGCACACAATTATGATATTGTGATTTGATTTTGGGAATTTAATAATTATAATAAGAGAGTTTGTTTTTCATTTTGTGTAAAATTTAAACCTTTTTATGCACAAAAATGCCAAAATTATTCTTAACTGATATGACTTTGGTATGAATCCCAGAAAAACTCTAATGATATTTAATGTTATTCAATAAAGTTTTAAAATTTATTTAATGAATTTTTATTATCTTATTCTGCAATTTAATTAAGGCTTTATTGTTAGTTTTCTTTTTAAAAGTATTTATATATAGGTTAATTTAAGGCTTATATATTTTCCTGTTTTTCTTATTTAGATTCTTCTAAATTGTATTCTTCACTATCTAAATCATTTTCTTTATCATAGCTTTTTATATATTTTTTTTTATATTTTTTTTTTCAGTTTTTTATTACTTGTTTATTTAATTTTGTAATAACTTTTATTATGACAATCGCTTTTCCTATGTTTTATTTTTAATTTTTTTTTATTTTTTAATGCTTATTGTTTTTGGTATTTTTTACGAGCTCTTTATCAGTGTTGTTTGAGATTTATTATGACTTTTTTTTTTTATATATTTAAATATATTATTTTTTTTATATTTAAATATATTATTTTTTTATATTACACTCATTTATTTCTCTTTTTTTTTTTTTTTTTGATGGTTGTATTTTTTTTTTATTTTTAAATAAAAATATTTTTTTTTTTTGTAATTTTTATTAATTTAAATTTTTTTTTTTTTTTAGTAGTTTTAATGTTTAAAAAATACTTAATTTTTTTTATTAAAGGAAATTTTTTTTTTTAATTTTAGTTTTTTAATATATATTATATATTATAAATAAAAATATAAAATTAATTTTGATAAAAAATATATTAATTAAAAGATTTTATATTTCTTATATTATTTTTAATGGTTCTATTTAGTCAAATATGAAATATAATAATATAAAAAGCTTGAAATTTAATTTAAAAACTAACAATAACTATAATATCGATTAGTAAATTTAACTAAAAATAATTAGAATATTAAAAAATACAAAAAAAAAATAAGTAATGTTAATAGTACTAACAATATATAAATTACCATTCTATTATAGTTTAGTTAAAAAGCAAGAAAATATATTATAAGTAAATCTACCAGAATTTATTTTTTATAGGAACTTTATATATATATTAATTTTATCATTTAGCTTTTTAGATATAACTTAACCACATTTCATTGGTTTTTAGGTATTTAAATTAATTTATAATAATAAATGTTTATAAAAATATTTTTTTATAAAATTAAATTTTATAGAGGGGGGGGGGGGGGGGGTTAATTTGTAGAATTATATATAGGGAATTTTTTTTTTTTGATATTTTGTTAATGATTAAATGTTAAATCTATTCAGTTATTAATTAATTGATAACTATAATAAATTTAAACATATTTTTTTTTTTGTGTATTTATTCATATATAAAAAAAAAAACACACATTTTATAAAAAAAAATTATTTCTTAAAAAATGTAACAATTAAGCATTTGATTAATATTTAATAAAAAAAAAAAAAATTTTAAAAAATAAAAATTAAATAAAAAAAAAACATTAAAATTAAAACATAAAAAAATTCAATTTGTAAATTTAATAAAGCAAATCATGTAAATACAATCAAATAGTACAACATTTTTACAAAGATAAAAAGATGCCCATTTACAAAATAGTAATGGGTTTAATTAAAAATCACCAACTTAAAATACATTTTACAAACAAATGGATAAAATGGCTTTTACAACCGGTTCTTTATCAGTAGCAAACGGATATCCAGTATAAACATAAAATCCTGCATGTTTGAAGGGAAAAATAAAAAACATAGAGGAAACTGCAAAATTAATATCAGATTAATTGTCTAAACATAAAATAGACTTCAAAATGTTAAAAACCGAAAAAAATACTCTGGAATAAGTATTGAAAGTGAAAAATAGTGATATTAAGAATACTTTAAGTAATGAATTAAAAAGATTAGAAGATGAAATGAAGAGACATTTTATCCATTAAAAAGCTGAATCTGGTAGAATATAAAATCAAATTAATAATTTAAAAGCAGAAAAAGCGGCTTTATCTTAAACTTTAAATGGATTAGATAATAGAATTTTCGATATGGAAAATGGAGTTGGAGAAAATTTAAGAAAATGAGTATATTTTTTTTATATATATATATTTTATTTTATTATGTTATTTTTTATTTATTTTTTTATATATTAGTGGAATAAAAATATTAATAAAACATTAATTTTTATTTTTCTTTTCTTTTCTTTTTTTTCTTTTCTTTTTTTTTTTTTTTTTTAATAAAAAAAAAAAACTTTATAATAATGTATTTTTAATTAAATATTTTTATTTTTCAATTTTATTTCTCCTCATATAATTATTTCTTATATTAAATTTTTGATAACTCTTTTACTTTTTGATTTTCTTAAACTTGAAACTTATTTAAAATCTTAAAAAAAAATACATTTATATATAAATATATGAAAATAATTATACATCCAAATCTTCATAATCTTCCTTTTAAATAATTTAATAATTTCCATAAACACCCACACTAATGAAATGAAAGCCTGTCTTATCAACTTTATTCATAGCATTACTAAATTAAATAATATCTCCAATTTTAATAATCTAATTTTTTTCTTAGAAATCAAAATTTATCATAGCAGTATTGTCCCCAATTATTCCTTTATAAAATTTTAAATATAATTAAGGTTTAACCTATACATAATATTCATTTATTTCAAGAATCTATTTTTTATTTTTTTATTAAACAAAAAAAATATATAAAAACATATATTTTTTTAAAAAAATATTAACTTTTCCATAAAAATTAGATCCGTTTTAACCTGGTTTTAAATCTTCAATTTTATTTAAAGAAGCTTATTTTATTTTTTATTAATTTTTTTCAGAATTTTCTTTTCTATGAGTTTTTTATTAATTTTGGATTATTTAAGATTTCTCTGAATTTTCTTTTTTTAAGTTTTTTGAGTATTCTTTTTAATTTTTTCAGTATTTTTTTGAGGTTTTTCACTATTTTTTTAATAGTTTTCTTTGTCTTTATTCATAATTGCTATTTTCTTGTATTTTTAAAGTTAATATTTTTATTTATTTTCCTCTTTTGTCATATCAATAATTGCATATTTGCTATTATTATCCAAAATTACTTGCTTTTAACCTTTTTAATTTAATTTTACTTGAATATTTCTGAATATAATAATCTCATCATTTGTAATTATGGAAGAATAATCATTTTGAGAACTTCAAATCGAATATTTCCTGTAGGATCAGTCACATTTCCAATAAAATAATTATCTTATTCCCCAAAATCAGTTACTTTTCCATAAAAAGTATATCGGTTTTATGTTTAAAGTTTCATTTAGGAAATATTAAAAAAAGGTTTTTAGGTCATATAATCAATTTTTATTTAAGAAAAATCTTAGTTTGTTATTTCTTATATTTATTATTAATCCCTTTTTTAATTTATTTTAAATTTTAATTTTTTGAATTTATAGTGTACTTCTTATAAAATGATTTAAGAGTCTTTTTCTATAAATATCCTATGACTATCTACATAGTTTTCTAAACTTACATTTATTAATTTAAAAATTCTTCCTGATTCAATCGTTTAAAGATATTCCTGGTTCCTTTCATTTTTCTATTAGTATAATATATAGTTCAAATAACCTGTTTAGTCAGCTAATTATCCCTTTATGTTTAAAAAATCATTTTATCTGGGTAATATTTGAACTGTTATTATCTTTAAAATATATATTATTTTTTAAATTAAAGTTTTTATATTTTAATCACTTTTACAATCAAAGAAATGTTTTTTTGATATTTGCCGTTATAATTTAATTCAGATAATTTAGCTTTTAAAATTAAATATTTTTTAAAAAAAAATATTATTATATTAAACTGTATTTTTATTTTACTTAAATGAATATTTTACATTTTTTTGTTTAATATTATGTTTTAAAAAATAAGTATAATATATCTTGTGTTTTTTTAAAAATAATTTTTTTGATATAACAATATATAAAAAATTAATATTAATATTTAAATAAATATATAAATATATATATATATTTATATATATTTATATATAATTATATATATATTTTTTATTAGTTTTAAAATATAAATTTATAATTATAATGTTATTATATTTTGTTTAATTTTATTTATCTATGTAATCTATTTAAGTTAATTAATTAAATTATCAAATATTTATTTCAATCTAATAAAAAATTTAAAAAGTAAAAATATTAAATATGTTAAAATTAAATAAATTTTAAGAAGGTGATATATAATTTATAAACCAAAAAATATAAATAAAATAAAAAAGTTAAATTAAATATACTAAACCTTTCTAAAACAATGAAAAACTCTAAAATTTAGAATAATAATTAAAAAAAAAATCAATTTAAAACTAAAATTATAGTCTTCCAAGATTAAAAATTTTTTAAAAATTTCAAACTACAGATTTAACTTAAATTAAAACTATCAAAATGTTTTAAAAAAAGGTTTATTCAGATAATAATAATGAAGAAAATAATAAAAAAAATGAATTTTATTATAAATTAATAATGTATATAGATCCTCATAGAATGCTTAATATATAAAATAATATATATATTTAATAATAAATGGATTCTTTTTAAATTTACAAAGCATATATTCCTAAAGGAAATAATGATGTATTGATTAGAACTTGCTTAAAAAAAAGGTAAATATTAATAAATTCTAAAATAATAATAAAAAATATAGATTTTGGTGGTCTTTAATAGAAAAGAATAATAAAAAAACAAATCTTATATGGACAGAAATAAAACAAAGAAATTTTTATAAATAAAAAGATAAAAAAAGTGAAAAAAAGCTCGAAATAAATGAAGAAGAAGAAGAAGTTAAATAAAAAGATGAAAAAAGTTAAAAAATATATGAAAAAAATATAAAAAAAGAAGAAACTTTTAAAATAAAAAAAGAAAATTAAGAAAATATAAAAATTTAAATAAAAAATTTAACAGGAAATATAAATTTAAAATTTCCTGTTTTTTATAAATATTATTAAATTCCAAATGAAGATTTTTTTATGGAAAAAAATATAAAAATTAATCAAAAAAAAGCTTAAAAAATTAATTTACATAATCATTTGGAGAATAATTTTTTATTAGCAAATAAAAAAAATCTTTTAAAAACTTTAAAAAAATTTTATAGTTTGAAATAAGAAAATCCTTTTGATTTTATTCCTTTAAGCTTTTGTATAAAAAATGGACAGAAAAAAAATGAATTTTAGTCTTTTTAAAAATATTTTAATACATAAAAAGGAAAAAATATATGGATAGTTAAGCCAGGAGAAAGTTCAAATAAAGGAAATGGAATTAAAATTAGTCAAAAGTTAGAAGAAATAGAAAAAATTATAGGAAAAAATGAATATAAGGGAAGCTTAATAATTTAAAAATATATAGAAAAACCACTTTTATATGAAAAAGAAAGTTTGATATAAGATGTTATATATTAATAACTTATATTAATAATGTATGGAAGGGTTATTGGTTTTAAGAAGGATATATAAGGACTTCTGTTGAAGAATTCAATCTTGAAAATATTGAAAATAAATTAATTCATTTAACGAATGAAGCGGTTTAAAAAAATTCTGAAAGCTTTGGGAAATTTGAAAATGGAAACAAAATTTCATTTGATGATTTAGACGATTATATTAAAAAAACATTATAAAAAATAAGATGTTTTTTATGAAAATATATATCCTAATTTAAAAAAAATAGCAAAAGATTGTATAGAGGCTTTATTTATAGAAAATTATACTTTAAATTCAAAAAATAAAAAAGTTATTGTTTTGAAGTATTTTATATAAATATATTTTAATTTTATAATTTATATATATATATTTTTTTATTAAGATATATAAATATTTTAATATAATAATTAGATATTAATATATATAAATACTTTTGAATATTTATAAATAAAATTATTTATATATATATATTAATATTTATATTTTACTAAAAATATATTTAAATTTTTATATATATATATATATTAATTAATAATATCTATATATATATTTATTTGTATAAATATTTATATATCTTTTTTTATCTTTTATATTATATAAATATAAATATATTTTAAGTTTTATATATTTATATTATATTTTTATATTTTTGTAATTTAAGCTTTTCGGTTTAGATTTTATTATTGACAGTTAATATAAACCTTGGCTTTTAGAAATAAATTCTAATCCTAGTCTTAGTATATGTTGCCACTTGTAATCTAAATTAATACCTCTTTTGATTGAAAATGTTTTTTAGATTGCAATTGATCCTCTGTTTCCACCACCTGGTGATATTAACAGTTTTATGAAGAAGGAGAATATCATAGTTAGTTTATATGAATTTAATAAATTTGAAATTGTATTTGATTAAAATACTTATGGTGAATTATTAATTTAGAAATATTCTTAGGGTATTTTATTTAAAATAAAAAAATCTATATTTTATATTATAATTTTTAGATTTTTAGTAATCAAATAATTAACAAGAAAATAAAAATAGATTTTTATACTAATTAAATAATATGAAAATATATATTATATTTTGTTATAATAAATTTCTTAATTTCTTATCTTTAATAATTTTTTTAATAAAATATTTTTTTTATTATGATGCTATAAATC